ACAATTTACATCGTATCTCAGTCAGACAGTGAAAATCACTGTTTTCTTTAAAGAAATCAGATCTTAAACGCAGCAATTTTGTATGGCATGACAATTAACCGGAAGCCCTGATGCTGGCTGACTGAAATTAAAAGTCTGTATGCATTTACCCCATTGGATTAAAAAAAAGACTTGTAATTAGCCAAATCTGATTAAAAGTGATTCAGATTGTAAGGGTTTCTAATTCGATCAATAACACTTGTAAACACTCAACTGGATTGAAAAACTTCAACTGAAATGTTTTGAGCATGTGCAATTTTGTAGAAATGCCATACAAACATATGACACACAACTGTTGATGGACTTTACACCATCAAAATGACTGCTGTGTCAATTTAGACTTCTTCCAATATCTGTGAAATGCTTTAGGAGTGTTGTACTGACTTTCATTCTTACCTTTTTTTGCACTTAATCAAAACTTGATGCTTTTTAAAACAAAGTAGATTTCACAAGTAATATTATTACCAGTGATGTAAAGTAACAAATTACGAATTCTCAAATTACTGTAATTGAGTAGTTTTTCTCAGGAATTGTTATTTACTAAGTACATTTAAAAATGTGTACTTTTAAATTCCATTGAGTACATTTCTAGTGCTGTATCGGTTCTTTTACTCCACTGCTTTCCTTTAAACTGCTGTCAATACCTTTATTTTTTCTTTTCTATGGGGATTAGAAAAATCTGTCCTGTGATTCCAGGAAGATGTTCAAAATCTTTACATGCATTGACCCAGAGACCTTTTAGATGCATGTCACTGATGAGAAGATGAAGGATGTTTACTGTATGATGACCGAAATAGTCTTAAACAGCCAGCAGGCACAAGAAGACAACGTGATGTCAGATTGGCATTGTACCCCAACGTTGTGGGGACATTGCATTTTGTTTGGAAATAAATATCTAAATCAATGCCCAACGTCCAACCTAAAATCAATTAAATATCAACATCTAATGATGTTACAGCTTGACATTGTGTGGACGTTACCACTTCGTCTATCAGATGTTGGATTTTAGTTGGCATACCTGACGTCAATAAGGTGTTGGTTTAAGATGTTGTCTCGAAGTTGGATTTTGGTCATTTTCTAACACAACCTAAAATCAACCAATTATCAACATCAATTGACGTTGTTATTGGACATCAAAGTGAAGTTTATTTATAAACAAATTTCGAGAGGATCGCGTGATTATGATTGAACACGGCTGGTTCTGTATTAACTATGTATGACCCACCAATCAGGCCATTCCTAACCCACTATAAAGAGCCAGGGTTTCTCACTACAGTCATCTTCGATTTGAAGAATCCCCCTTTCCACCCCTACTCCTCCACCTTTAGCTTCATAGGGCGGCACAGTGGCCCAGTGATTAAAACTGTTGCCTCACAGCAAGAACGTCACCGGTTCTAGTCCTTTAAGAGGCCGTCTGTCGTTTCTGTGCGAGGTTTGCATGTTCTTCCCGTGCTCGCGTAGGTTTCCCTTGGGTTCTCCAGTTTCCTCCAACATTCCGAAAACATGCACTACAGGAGAATTAATCAATCTAAAGTTAGCACTACAGACAAACTCTCATCCAGCAGTATATCTCTTCATAGCAATCATTTTAGTCATCAGCTTTTATCAAAAAGGGGGAGTTGTCGAGATCTACCTGAGCTCAAAGCTCCGCTTTCGCCCTGCAAACGGGAGGGAGCCCAGGGCTCAAGGTACTATTGAGCTCAGGGCTATCTCCCGGGACAGCATGCCAAACTTGCTTATAATCAATCAGCAAAGTGTAAACTCATGGCATGACATTCTCCTTAGATGCTGGCTAGACATTGAATTTTGATCACCTGACGTCACATGATGTTGTGTGCCTGCTGGGCAATCTCTAAATTCACAACAGAATGTTACGTTTACACACATCCACAAACTACATGTAAATGCATCAGTTTTTTTTACAGCATAATACTCACTACTCTTTACTCTTGAGTACTTTTGAAAGTTCTACTTTTTACTTATACTCTTTACAACAGATATTTTTACTGCTTGCACTACATTTTTAGGCAAGTAATGGTACTTTTACTTAATGTAAGTATGTTTTTTCAGAACTCTTTCCACCACTGGTGATTACTTGATTAAAAAAGGTGAAATAAATGAAAAACATGTTCATCCACTGTTTGTGTTCATCATGTGAGAAGAGGCACATGATATAAATCCAACTGACCTAGTTTTTATTATCATCATTACAATAATAAATGCAAACAATAGCTGGGTAAAAGAGTCAAGCCCAGAGCGTAAACTGGCTGTGCTTTGATGGCCTTGTGCGGTCTATTCTGGGCAGCCATTTTGAGAGCAACACCCCTAGGAAAACACCCAAGGCTGCGTGAGCATTGTTTCCTCAGGCCTGATTGTTCACACTCACAAATGCACAAAAATACAAACTCATGAAACCTAAAATGTTGAAAAAAAAAAAAAGCACGTCTTGTACACAGGGGCCAGCACGCATTGTCCTGTTCTCTCTCAGACGCACACAAAACAACTAGAGAAATGAGTTCATTGTCCCGTCAGGGTCGCTGAGAAACAGATACAGGAAGACACGGGTCAGGAAAGAAAACACGCACATGGATATACTGATTTTAACTGACAAGAGTGTTTATTAAAAAACTAATTACATCATTAGATGTGCTACTAAAAATAATATTAATCATAATTGCAAAAAAAAAATACTGATATTTCTCTTTTAAAGACAAAAAAGGCCCTCATAAACTGTACAATCAAAGCTGAGAAACATCAGACTGTTCGTTGCGTGGAGAGAACACAAAAGCAAGTCAAACGCAAGACAATGTAACAGATGAAGACCAAAGAAAGAAAGAAAAATATTCACACACTTGATTGTCTGACATTCCAGTTGCTATTTCCTGTGTGGCAGGAATTGGGCGTGTCTGTATGCAGGATATGGCGTGGACGCACCGAGAGACCACTCAAGCTCCGCAGTCTGAGTAAACATGATTGTATTGCGAAGGCTTTCTCGCTCTGACATTTAGAAGAATAAAACTAAAACATACATCTTATCTGCTCCAAAACAGTCCGCTCCGACACAATATATTACATTTATTTTTAAAGAAGTGAGTGTGATTGAAGAAACAGTTAACAGCTGGAATGAGCCAGTGGCTCCTTTACGCATACAGTTATGAAAGAAGTGATGACGGAGCACCTCAAATGAAGCTCGAGGGTCATTTAAACGGTTTTGTTGTTTTTGGATCATGTAGTTGTGCCTAAAGTCATTGTGACTAATAGTGGGAAGAAGGTAACATTTGATGAAAAATTAAAAGGTTGCATTTTGGTTGTTCTGTCAGCTGAGATGATCTATTATGAGTATTAAAGGAAGGTTAACAATTAGTCATCATTTACGCACCTTTATGTTGTTCAAAAGCTCTATGACTCTATGATTGTTCTGTTGAATGTGAAGTTGCAATCTACTATACAATGATAGTGGATAGTGACCAAGGGCTTACAACATGCTAAACGCATATCTTGCTGGCAAAAAAAAATATTGTCATGACAGTTTTATTGAATACAGGCTCATTCTGAAAACGTAACCCTACATTTTTGGAAATCGTTAATTATGTAGCCAGAGCTATGTATGGCTGTATTTCATCTTTAAAACGAATGCTACAGGGCGGTATGACGCCGTTTCTTCTCACGTTTGCAAGCTGACCGATTACCTCAGTGTGGACGGATTTCCACTGTTTCCATATTGGGCTTGAGATGCAGAGTGGAGTTGACCACGACAACTAGGTTTGAATCTGGTGAAGAACAGTTCCAGAAAACAGATAAGACAAAAACAGGATCCAAAAAATAAAATTAACAAGTAAATAACAGGGTGAGAATGTAGTAAAATCTGAAAATGTGGTAAAAAATTAGACGAGGGCTTTTCTTTTTCTGGATTACTTTTCAAAACACTGCTGTTGGGTTTAGGGAAATGGGTGGGCGGGTCAGGCTGTGCTTTTGAAAACACTATTGGTTGGGTTTAGGAAAGGGGAAGGGTATCGGGTGGTTGGTCAGTCAATCAACAGCGGCCTCTGGTGGATTTACCTGAGAACAGCGAAGGAAATGGCACTCGCAAGAAAAAACTGAAAAGCGTACACAGCAGCTTCTGGTGGATTCACAAATTCCTCCTGGGACCTATTTGGCGCTCACCAAAAATGTATATAAGTGTATATTCAGAATGAGCCTGGGTTGGTTTTATTTTTAAGTGGTCAAATTTTATACAATCCGTTCACGCCCATGTGACAATAATGTTTAGAGCCTTCATGCTTTTAAATGAAAATCATACATTTTCAAATTAGATTGTACAAATGTAAACACTTTTTCTGATTTATTTGATGTGACAAGCTAAAGGATGTGCATGTGTGTGTGTGTGTGTTTTTTTTCAGCCTAAAAGTGCCAAAAAGTGCCAATTACATGTCAATGCAAAAAGAGACAATAGAAAATAATGTGCTCTGATCTGTCTCTTTCGTTTTGTTTTGAACAAAAAATTATGGCAGATTTTCGTATGTTACATTTTGGCAAATCTGTTGTTAATGTTTATACTGTTTGCTAATGTTGCTGTGGGGGCTTAGGGGAGGTCCCATTAACAGTTTTGTTGAAGAATTTGCTTTCTTTATTCTAAAAATCATACATTTTAGTCAGAACTTGTCATAACATAAAATGATATTTTAATAATCCAATACTTTTATATGCAAAGCCAATCTAATTTGAAGTCATTAACAAAACATTTTATTGTCATGATCACCATCCAGTTTCACTGAATAAATTCAAGCAATTTACACATTTTTTGTTTAAATAAATAATTCATTTGTGTTGCACAGAAGAAAATCGGAAAGAGTCTAGTCAAACAGTTCCAGAGCTGCACGTTTAATTGATTAAAAGTTGCAATCTTAATTAAAATACTAATGCAATGTCATTATTAAATGACAGCAATGTAGCTATATATCAATAAAACTGATTTATAAAACAATAATGTTTAAAAAAATGTCAAACCAATAACTTTATCTATTAGTCACTGAAACATTTGTTTAAATGATTCATTCAAAAACGATGATTCATCCAGTGATAAAAGAAGTGAAGTATTTATGTACTGCATATTAGATAACAAGAAGAGACCCATGATTTCAGACAGCAAAGTTAAAATCTTGTCTGTCTGGTGCACTTACACAGCACATTCCACAATGTTTGAGTATTAGTTCAGAGGGCTCTTTTGTGGCACATTCAACCACATGAGCATTTACACCAGAGCAATTTAGTCAATATGTGTTTTGAAAGTGGATAAGCCTTTTTTGGAAATAGGCTCATTTTATAAGTCCCCTAGAGTTAACAGATTGAGTTTGCCATTTTTTTTAATCCATTCAGCCTATTGCTGGTTCTGGTTAAGCGGTGGTAAGTTAGGATGATTCTAAGGGCCCACAAACTTTGTGGGCCCCAGAGATCTGCTTTATTAGTACAAACATTACTAGCAGGCTGCTCAAACTCAACTTTTTTCATATCGTCCAAAATTGCTAGCAGCTCCATGTGGGCAGGAACACTTTTTTTGACTCCATTGAATCAGGTTAGACCATTAGCATATTACTCAAAAAATTTCAATAATTACTATTTCATTTTTAGATTCTTTAAATCCTTTTAGACCCCATTTAGTCCTGCATTTAGCATCGTCCATTTGTAATCAAACTAATAAAAACGCATCCTAAAACCAAGTGCAAACAGGACCTGAGTGCGTCTTGAATTATTTACTCAGCCAATTTGTTTAACATATGTCATTCAAATTAAAGAATAGTTCATTTCATGATGCTGCTTTGTTAGCTAGCCATTTAGGTTTGTTGAGGAATTGTTATCATTGTAGTTAAAAAAAATAAAATAAAAAAATAAATTAAAAAAATAAAAGCAAAGTTGTGCAGCTCTGCATTGTTTTTAAACACAAGGGTAAGTAAATGATGTCTGAATTGTCATAGTTGGCTGAACTGATACATTACAGTTGTAAACACCAAACAGAGGAAGACGGTTTGAAGCTCTGTAGATGTTAAACTGGAGGTGCACTATAACGGACCTCTGCACTGAACTTGTCGTTTCTCTTAGGCAGAGGTGGTTTCTTACGAATGTCTCTCTTCAGGATCATCTCCTCGTTGGCGTATATCGGGGCTTCTGCATCGTCAGAATGGTAGCCAGACTGATAGCCGCTGGTCTGATTGGACGATTCAGAAGCTAAAGACTCTTTACTCTTGCAGCGCAGTAATGGGCTGTGGACAAAAGCATGAACATGTTTTTAATGTTAGTGAAACTGCGTTAGTTTGTAGCTGTACTGTAGTCAGGATGAATGTGTTACCTGAAATTGAGTGGCCTTTGTGCCTGACGATCCAAAGCTTTCATCTGTTCACGTGATAAACCCACTCCACAGTCCACGTGGCCATCCTGTAGAGAGAAATGTCATTTGTTTTAATCATTATAAGTTTTTCGGGGTTCCAAATCAAATAGCTGATTTCCAGGGATGTCCAGATCTGATCATGTGATTGGAAAGCGGACAAGATCATGCGGTTTCAGACTCGATCAGAATCGGTATGACATCACTTTGTTACAGAGACGCTATTGGTTCAATGCCGGCAAAGAACACAACACGGAAGCAACTTGAAGTGGAAAGCGTGAGTATGTCTGTGGTCTGGATGTATTATAAAGTTGATAACGATAACATTGCCATAGCAAACTGTGAGATATGTAAACTTGGGATTGCCTGCCAGGTATTTTAAGTTGAGGTGCTATTTGTTTTTATATTAGAATTTTTTATATTTACTGTTGCACTAAAGTCCAAAAGTGAAGAATTTATGTTATTTATTACTTGATTGTTCAAGCTACCTCACAGAAGTGCTCTGTTTGTTAACGGAGTTGTTGAACGTTAAAATAAGGTGAATTAAATTAAAAATATGGAACATACTGGATCTATTTGATCACTCTTTATTAGTCTTTTTTTATGTATTATAGAATTATCAGATCGGGTTTCGGTATCGGTAGATACTCTAAATAATGATACTCCAAAAACTATTCGAACTCGGATTCGAGGGCAAAAAAACCTGATTGGGACATCCCAAAGTAAAACCTAATATATTAAACCAAAAATGATTCATACTTCAGATATAATTTTTTATTTTCTAAAATATAATTTTTTAAATTACAAAGTCCTGGTTTGCGTGAATCTGACGGACAGCAGGGAGACAGGCTAATGAATCTGACACTGCGTACTAACAACACATGACTTGGCAAGCTTGCTGTCTGTACCAGATGCAACATGGCAAAACTATTTAAAGGCATTCAGAGCTATTAGGAAGCACAGAATCATACACTGCACTCTCAACAAAATGGACAGGTTTATAATCAATGCAATGCAATTCAATTCAATTCACCTTTATTTGTAAAGCACTTTTACAATTTAGATTGTGTCAAAGCAGCTTCACTTAGAAGACTGAGAAGAATTTTCAGAGTTTAAGTTCAGTTCAGTTCAGCGTGGTTTATTATTTACTGCTGAGAGTCCAAACACTGTAGAGCAAATCCATCGATGTGGAGACTACAGGATAATGAGTCTCAGAGTGTGTCTGAGCCTGGAACATTATCAGGAAGGCTATTCCAGAGTTTAGGAAACATAAATAAGAAGGCTCAACCTCCTTTACCTGACTTTGCTATTATAGGTACTACCAAAATACTTTTGAGATCTTAAATATAATAAATATTAAACATCATTATCATGATTAAAAGTACATGATACTTTACAGATGTGGTTGGTTTGTCTGAGATCTTCATGTTTAAATTATCTGTTTGCATATTTTATTCTATTTTATTACATTATAAACATCACTTAAATTGGTATTTAAACTTACATTGGTAGTGTTTAACAATTAATAGAGTGCATAATCATTTTCATAACACTTTTTACTAATGTGCTAGCTGCAAAGTCACTGAAATAGTAAATTTTTTATAAAATACAGTTAACAAGTTGCTGTTGCAGATGGTTAGGACAAAAAAAACTCTTTTAAAATGGAAAAGATACATTTTATAATGTGTTGCAGAGTGTAGTTAGGACACATGTAAGGGTGGACAACAAAGTATTGATAGATCATACTAACGGTTGGCTGAATTATTTTTGGTTGACAGTAATCTGTCACATACAGTTGAAGTCAGAATTATTAGCCTACCTGAATTATTAGCCACCCTGTTTATCTTTTTCCTCAATTTCTGTTTAACAGAGAGATTTCTTCAACACATTTCCAAACATAATAGTTTTAACAACTAATTTCAAAATAACTTTTTTATTTTATTTTATTTTATTTTATTTTATTTTATTTTATTTTATTTGCCAGGATGACAGTAAATAATATTTGACTAGATATTTTGCAAGACACTTCTATACAGCCTAAAGTGACATTTAAAGGCTTAACTAGGTTAATTAGGTTAGGCAGGTTAGGGTAACTTTCTCCAAAAGAATAATATTATCAGACATACTTTGAACATTTTCTTGCTCTGTTAAATATCATTTGAGAAATATATAAAAAAAAAGAAAAAAAAAATCAAAGGTGGGCTAATAATTCAGATTTCAACTGTACTGTACCTTTCTATCAAACAGTTTTATATATTCTATTGAGATATACACCTGTGTCTCACCCTTAAAGCAGAAATATAACTGATATTACCTAATTAATAACATCATAACATCTAAATGAACTAGCTTTATTATATCCTTGAATATTCGTAAAGTGGATAAGGTCTGTGGAAGTGTATTCACCATTACAGTGGTATGCTCCAGGGGAATGTCCACAAAACCTGTCATATTCACTGGCACACCACTGCTATTCATCTGCTGAGGAAACCTGTCAGGAGATGCAGAGGTGGACCACTGTTAATATTCTCTTTTTTCAAATGTAATAAAATCTGCAATATTTCAGGTTGATGATTCTATCAAAGGCTGTCTAATCAGCAGAGAGAGTAGTCATTACAACTAACCCGAGAGGCGGAGCGTTATCATAGTGGAGCTGTGCCTCTGTGTTGCCGGCGTAGAAAGATCTTTTAGACGTCACATTTAGGTGAGGAGCCACCAGTTCCTCCTCCATCTCTCCGTTTGTCAGCGGGATGTAGTCTTTTCCATCCTATCAGTGGAGACACAGAATACATGTAAAATACAAAGATGTACATTTCATCATATGAATGATAAAATCATTCATTTTTGGCTGCAAAAATGTAACACTGTTACAAAACATATCTAACCATCCTCACAACAACATACATTTTCTGTGTAAAAAATAAATAAATAGATGACTACAACCTTACTAAAGTGTAACATTAGAACTAACTAAAAGTAAATAGGAATATTAAAAATGTATATAATTGTAATATATGGATGAAAAACTAATAAAAAATAGAAATAAAATGACAAAAGTACCTAAACTTACTACTTGAACTGAAGTAAACAAAATGAGAGGAACCATCTACTTTAAAATATGGAAGAAAAACAAAAATCACTGATAACATTAGTAAAAAAAAAATTATAAAATAATAATAATAATAATATTAATAATAATATCTTTCAATAAGGGCTAAAACTAACATGAACTAAAGTTGATGAAGAACTGTTTATTTCAAATTCGTGCTAACTAATGTTGTCAAATATTGTTTAACAAGTGGATAGACTACAAAATACAGGGTGGGCCATTTATATGGGTACACCCTAATAAACTTTTTGGGAATTTCACAAGAAAAAACAATGGTGTGCTTAATTTTAACGTAACTTTATTCTTTCATGAGTTATTTACAAGCCCCCTCACATATACTAATGTGCCACAAACAGGACCTTAATGTCACCAATCATTCCCATTTTATTAAGGTGTATCCATATAAATGGCCCACCCTTTTTTAGATTACATAACTAGATTAAACAGATTACAAATATTAATCATATCTTAAAAATATATCAATTATATTTAAACAACAGTCATTTAGGCTCACCAAAACATGAAAAAATTACTAAATTAAATAAAAAAATATATATGTTTTTTTAAACCCTGGTCAATTTTATCTATATCAAGAATCAATTTCTACTTCTAAAAAATGAAATAAAATAAAATAAAATAAAATAAAATAAAATAAAATTAAATAAAATAATAAATAAAATTAAAAATTGCAAGAAAAATATACTTGGAATGAAGTCTAACCTGTTGAGCACTAGCTTGTAGCAGATTACCCAGATGCTCAACTAACTGAGTAAAAGTTGGCCTGTCTAAAGGTCGATCAAGCCAGCAGTCCAGCATGGTCTGGTATCTGACAAAAAAAAAGAAATCACATCAAAGTCACTGTAGGAGACCTACTAAACAAATCTAGAAACCTTAAAAATGTAGAATAATGGGGACATTTTAAAAATGTGAAATATATTTATGTACATTTCAGGCGTGGCGTAATCTGGAGCTCTCATTCTGGTTCCCTCTTTAAGTCGCCTGCAGAAAGACTCATCAATGCACACACCTGGATATGGAGATGCACCTGCACCAAAGAAAAAAATGGTCAACGGGACATGTCAAGCAAATACTGTAGGTTTAAACTATTTCCAGTAGTATTGTTTATATAAAGCTTCTTTACTGATATTAATGGTTCAGTAAAGATCCTTCTATGGATCTTTGTTAGAGCACAGAATCTGCCCTTTTCCAACCACAATGCTTTTGCGTGAATTATTAAGGAGCTTCTATTAAATTATAATCAATCAGTAATGTGCTATAAAAAACAACATACTATGAGGTGTCATTATTCTCCTTACAGTTTACCTATTGGATATTAAAAGTCGACTTATTAGAATGAACAAATTACTTTCAGCAGACCTAGAATAACCAAAAAAAAAAACTTGAAAAGAGTCTTTCCACTGTAATATTATGGATGAGTTTATTAGTACTGTATTCCAAGTATTGAAAAATAAAGAGAAAATAATCTGTGAGAAAAAAAACAAAAAGCTTTGGCCACCTTTATTTAAACTTTATTTTTATGACATATAAACTTAAAGCACAAAATCAAATGTGCCACTCCCTCAGCTTTCCCTATGTATATGAACTATAGCTTAACAATATTATTTTAAATGATTTCTTTTTAATGAAAGTTCCCCAAACAGGAAGCTGAAATGCAGTAGTTATATGTGGGAAAAAGTCAATAAGAACTCTGTAAGCTCTGTTATAATATTATGCTATGTTAAAATCAATATTATGATACCAAGTGAGAAGATCTCCCAGAGCAGCACGCCGAAAGACCAGACGTCACTCTGTGTTGTGTACACGCGGTCAAAGATGGTCTCAGGAGCCATCCATTTGAGAGGAAGACGAGCCTGTGGCGATGGAGAGAAAATATTCAAGTGTGGGTTGGTGTATTTTGCTCAATAACCAAAATTAAGTTTATGTGTATAGTAAGGGTCCTTACATCTCCTTTACGAACGTAATCAGGGTCTTTATACACGTCTCTGGCAAGCCCAAAGTCACAGATTTTCACCACACTGTTTTCAGAGAGTAGGATATTTCTGGCTGCCAAGTCACGATGGATACACTAAAATGGATACAAAGTGGCATTTAGACTGATGTAATTGTATTTAAAGGGGCAGTTCAAACAAAAAATATATATTTTGGCATCATTTATGCATTCTCCACTTGTTTCAAACCAGTTAGAATTAGTTTTTTTTAAGATGAAGTAAAAAACTCAAGTAGGGATGCCAAGAAAAGTCATAAGTTACAACATGCTATGAATGTCTATGGTTACTGGTTTTCAACATTCTTCAAGACATATTACTTTAAGTTTAACAGAAAAAAAATGGTTTGAAACAAGACAATAGTTAGTAAATGATGCCAGAATATTCATTTTTGGAATGAGCTATCGCTTTAATTACAGTAAATGCTAAAGTTTTTTTTGTAGTTGCAATGTAAACACAGTCAAAGACGATGACTGTCATTTTTACCTTTCGAGAGGCCAGAAACTCCATGCCTTTGGCCACCTGGAAGCTATAGCTGATAAGGTCCTCCATTGTCAGATGATCCCAGTCTGAACTCTCTATACATGAGCAGACGACACCAAATACAGATTCAAGACTAGCATTTACTGTAAAAACACTAGATTTAAAAAGCATCGTGAATATCTTGGGCCCTATAAAAGCTTTAAATGCCGTTTGTATTTGTTTGATCATTTTTATGAGAGTCAAGACTGAAGTAATGATGCATGAACAATTCAGCTTTGAATCATAGAAATATTTTACATCTAAAATATATTAAAAGATTAAAGAATTTAGTATGAAAGGATAGTTTTATTCAAAACAACAGAACACAAAAGATAGTATCATGAATTTATTTTTTTTTACTAATGTGTATGTGAATAGTTTTCAAACATTCTTTAGAATATCTTCATTGTGTTTAATGAAAAAAGAAACTTGAAGCTGACTAAATAGCTTTTTTTTTTAATTTTGGGGTGAACTATCCCTTCAAATTAAAAGTAATATTCCACAATAATACTTATTTTTCTATAATATTTTAACAAATAAATGCACAACAAACTTTTTAAAAACATTGTTATGTCCGGACCAGTCTAGGGTCAGTGGGAATAATAACAAAAGTACAAATAAATAAATAAATAATGAAATAAATAAATAATGAAATAAAACTTTTAAATACTCAATTTAGGGTTTTCCCCTTCTCCTGTCCCAGCTCACAACATGATCACAACCAGTTTATTGAGAAATAACAAGGTTCATTCTTTAAAACAATAAAGATCTCAGAATCATCTCTTCGAAAGGGAATCCAGGCCAAAATAACAAACAAAAAGACAGCTAACTTGCGGGGAAATAATCCTAAATTACCTGCTAAAATAAAAAGTACCCCAAATAAAATGACAACAAACTTTCCTTTCTCTCTCGCTGCCACAAACCAGGAGAAAACGTTTTAAAGGAAATGGCGATTCCCAACCTACAGCTTTAATTTAAGTAAAAATAAAATATAGTTTTAATAAGTGAAATCAATTTTTACAAATTTTTTAATTTTTTAAAATTTAATAAGTGAAAACAAAGCACACAGGCTCAGATCTAATATGGCGAGCAGTTTAGAAAAGAAATAAATTGTCAGCTAACGAAATCAGTCAATCACACCACTACTTCAACAAACAATCTAGGGCAGGAGATAGGAGACAAAAACTTCTGACCGATCGCATAACTTTAAAATTATGCTTCATATGGTTACATCTAAATGAACTTAATCATATCACTTTCCAAATCTTTGATAAATACCGCCATTAAAGTCCCATTAAACAACACAGATAATCCAGCAGACGAATATACTGACCCTGCTCATCCTGCAGCGTTTTGTAGGTCTGTTCCCCCGTCCTGGTGCACACAGCTGTCCCGGTGCAGATATCCAGTCTAGTGCTGGTTCCCAGACCCAGATCCCCCTCACGTGGATCCTCATCCTGCTGAACCTCCCTCCTGTTTGGCATTCGTGGTGTCCGTTTCTGAAAAATAAGACATGAGGATCTGTTTACACTGCTGTCGGTGTGGCTGTTAAGTTAATAGAGATGCTTTAGACATGAAGTACTGTATCAACATGTCAAACACCTTTAACCTTGAACAACATCTATAGGCCTTACAGTTTTTTGGCTGATGCCCAATGATTTATACTAGACTACTGGATCAATCAGACCACATTAGAGAATACTGGTAAAATGAAGATCTTCAAAATCACACAACTGTCTAACTTAACTAGTTGAAATGTCGTTTTAATAGAAATTACCTTGTATGGACTGTACTCTCCTCTTTTGCTTTTCAAATAGCTGGAGAGGTTACCATGTTTACAGTACTCTACAATCACCATCAAGGGTCCTGGAAGAGTGAGAAATAGAGAGAGGATTTAAAGTTGGCACACTGTGTTTTTTCCCAACAGTACACAATCACTTTGTGGTCTTTTTTTTACTATGACGCTATGTACATTTTTTACTATGTACATAAAAACATTTACACAGTTGCTAGTGAGCAGCTGTGAACATCATAGAAAGGGAAGGGTAGGAAGAAAAGGTTTTAAGTCTGCAAAAAAGTGGAAGTTGTGATAGTATGTTTTTCTATTAGCATAAATGATTTCTTCAGGTGAGACACTGTAGGTTAAAACTTAAACTTTCTGTGAATTTTGACATTTTGAGTCTTCCTTGATACTCATAAGATGTTTTGTTTCATCATTCATTCATGTATTCATTTTCCTTTGGCTTAGACCCTTTATTCATCAGGGGTTGGCATACTTATCCGCCAACTTATCAAGCATATTGTTTACACAGCGGATGGTCTTCCAGCTGCAACCCAGTACTGGGAAACACCCATACACTCTCATTCACACACATTCACTACAGCCAATTTAGTTTATTTAATTCATCTGTACAGCATGGACTGTAGGGTAAACCTGATCACCAAGAGGAAACTTGCGCAATTATGGAAAGAACATGCCAACTCCCCACACAGAAATGCCAACTGACCGAGCCAAGTTGTTTTTAAAGAAGTTTTAAAGAGGACTTTGCTTGTAATTTGCGTAATATTATAACCTTTCATTATACAAAAATGCGTGTTTTTTTTCTTTCATTTTTTTTCTTTTTACACAGTATAAACTGAGTGATTCAAGCATATGCCAAGTTCCATTGAGCCAGATTCTAGTATGACAAACAGAATAGATTTACTTAACCTGTTCAGGTTTAGGGCTAGAATTATGTGCAAATGTGTACATACTTAATATGAGAAACCTTGTAATAAAAATACTTGCAATAGTTTAATGTAATTAATTATCTATAAAAGTATGATGATAACTATTAGTTCATTTTCACCCTGTTCACCTGCTGTGTTTTGCTTTAAGCATAAAAAAAATCTAATGCAGGCTTGATTTGGTCCATCAAGGTTTGCTATTGGCCAATCTTATGTGATAAGACAGCACTGAACTAGTAAACATCACTGTTGCATAGTTAGTTAATCATTATGTTGAGTTTAACTAGAGTAATGTGCTCATCGATATAAATAATAATTAAAGAGGGCAGGTCACTTTGAGAGCTCGGAAAAGGTATGATGACGTTGATGTTAGACAGGATCACGAGTTTTGGTGAGTGTGAGTGTAGGAAACAGAAAAGTGAAGGACACCAATAAAAGTATAAAAGTTCTATGACATTTCGTGTCATCTTTACGAACGCAACAATCACTATAAGAGAAATGTCATTGCAAGAAGGAGGGGAAACTTTATATTGAAAGATTATGAGGGAACATGAACTAAAAAAAGACATGCACATATGTTTTATAAAACATATAAGACAATATTCCATTTAATTTTGATTTGATTGTGACTTCAAAAAACAGAACTCACCTCCTTGTTTGGTGCAGGCCCCTAGAAGGTTGACCACATTGAGATGGTGACCTATATGGATGAGGATCTTCAGCTCAGACATCAGAGCGCGGTACTCACTGGAGGTAGCACCCTCTGTTGGAGATTGAGAAAAGTGCTGTCAGTTGTGCACTATGACAGGTTTTGAAGTCTGTGAACAGATGCCTCGTACCCTTGAGCATCTTCACTGCTACTGTGGTGCAGGTGGTGGCCTTCTCGATGCCATATGCAGTCGCCTCCACAACTTGACCAAATGCCCCTCTGCCCAGTGGCTCTCCTGGAAATCATGACATTATAATTTTTTAGAAATTTTGTTTTCACCATCCAAAATAAATAAAGTTATTCAACATGTGCACCCGATAGCTCCGCCCCTTCCGCTACGTGAGCAAACCTGCGGTCGTTGAGTGCGTGAAGTGTCCATCATCACACACTTCATTTTACTGGCTGAATGAGTGCATCGAGTTTTCAGTGTAAATGCACTACTTACACTGTTCATACTACATAATGGCGTAGAATAGTGCATAAGTATGCGATTTGGGACGCAGCTAGACTTAAATGTAGCTAACATTAAAGATTGTAATGAGTAAGTTAACTCTCTAAAACAAGACAGGGTGTTACTTTTAAATAAAAAATAAAAAAAAGATTTTGTCTTTCTTATATTGAATGAACTAGAAAGCTGGAACAGTCCTGGTCTGTTGACATCTTGTGGTATTTTTATGATTGCTTTTTATTTCATTTTTAATATTTAGCCAAGTCTCACCCAGCTTCAGTCTATCTCGTGGGAATTCCCACTTGCTTGCATCATAGGTCAGTCTCTCGCAGTGCTCGTCCATTGGCATATCATCTGAGTCCAGAATAATTGACAGGTAGCCAGTTTTCAGATCTCCATCATTAGGCTGTGAGGGAAAGAAGAAGAAGGCATAGAAAGAGTGAGTTTATGACAAATGAGGGTCAATGAGGGTCAAAAGGAGAGAAAGAGAATGACTAACTGCACAAGACCACCGGTTTTGTCCAGCTTGAGCCTCTCACAATCAAGCCCTCATTATAAAGACACCCACTAATGAGTTACTGGAAGCCACTATCAGGCTCAGAGGCAGATTTATAGCCAGGGTACAGCAGGACGGAGGCCCACGACTGACGGGTGTACGTGACACACCGCAGCAGAATGTGGGACGGGTGTACAATAGAGACAGCGTAAGCAAAGTCTGGGTGGTCAGATCAGATGATTCTGAGTGTATGTGCCTGTGCAGGTCAGTTAGAGAGAGAGAGAGAGAGAAGGAAAACAGAGGAAAAGGGAAAGAGGTGGAATGTTACCCGCTTCCTGTTGCGGATGACGAAGACGATGAGGAGCCAGAGGAACATGGCAATGACCACGGCACCAATAGGCATGATCAGCTCAACATTCATCTTTTCTTCTGCACCTGTGGGATGGAGTATGTAATTGATCAGAAATGCAAAAATTTGAGATATTTTTATGCTTAAACACAAATAAATTAAAAAAAATAAGCAGAAAGACAATAAACAACCAGACCATTAAACAGAGTGATAGACAGACAGAAAGACAGACAGATGATAAAAAGACATATAGAAAAAAACAGACATGTTGACACACAAATAAGCAGACAGACAGAAAGACAGGCAAATAAACAGGCAGAGACAGACAGACAAACAGACAGACAGAGGTTAAATGATAGATAGGCAGACAGACTGACATAACAATATATAGACAGACCAATAAACAGACAGTTGGACAGACTGATAGACAGACAGAAAGCCAGATCAATAAACAGACAGTTGGAGAGACCGATATACAGACAGACCAAAAGACTGAAAGATAGACCAATAAATAGAAAGACAGAACAATTTACAGAAAGACAAACTAATAAACAGACAGTTGGACAGACTAATATCCAGACAAACCAATTAACAGACAGACAGATGATAAACAAACAGAAAGTCAGGGCAATAAACAGACAGACAGATGACAAACAGACATATAGAAGAAAAACAGACATGCTGACACACAAATAAGCAGACAGACAGACAGACAGGCAGGCAGGCAGACAGACAGACAGACAGACAGACAGACAGGCAGGCAGACAGACAGACAGACAGGCAGGCAGACAGACAGACAGACAGACAGGCAGACAGACAGACAGACAGGCAGGCAGACAGACAGACAGGCAGGCAGACAGACAGACAGACAGAAGATAGATGACAGATGGGCAGACAGACAGACATACCGATTTACAATAAACAGATAGACAGATGATAGATAGACAGATGAAAAACAAACAGAAATACAGACCAATAGACAGAAAGATAGACAGATGAAAAACAGAGATACAGACAAATGGACAGATCAGTATTCAGACAGACCAAAGGACAGAAAAAGAGACCAATAAACAGACAGAAAGATAAAGAGACTGAAAGACAGACCAATAAACAGGCAGACAGTTGGACAGACCGATATACAGACAGACCAATAGGCAGACAGACAGACTAATAAACAGAGACAGAGAGAGAGACAGATCAATAAACAGGTGGACAGATGATAAACAGACATATAGAAGAAAAAACAGACATGCAGACACAAATATGACAGACAGATGGACGGATGGAGGGACAAAGGGAGGGAGGGAGGGACGGACGGAGGGAGGGAGGGAAGGACAGAAGAAAAAACAGATATGCTGACACAAATAGACAGACAGACAGACAGACAGACAGACAGACAGACAGACAGATAGATAGACAGATAAATCAGAAAGACAGACAGACAGACAGACAGACAGACAGACAGACAGACAGACAGACAGACAGACAGACAGACAGACAGACAGATAGATAGATAGATAGATAGATAGATAGATAGATATGAATTGTTTGCTGCCCTGACATTATATCTAATCAAAATAAGCCTACAAAGAGTATACTCTACAGCAACATGAAGCCAAGGACAAAGTCAACCAGGGTTAACCAACATGACATTTTTCCTTTTCTTTTGCATATTTTCTTTTCTGTATCAGAACATGCCACCAGTCAGCAAAACACTACATGCCAGATGTTCCAATTCATTTCTCTGTTCCTCACTATTATTTTTTTCAGTAGTCGAAGTGATGTAGAAACAGTAAAATCGAGGGAAGAGTCACGTACACACTCAGTCTCTGTTATTTGTGTGCCTATGCTCGTCCAGTCCTTTCTAAATGTGAGAAAGAGACGGAAACATATCAAGTTGTAAGTCATGAAGGAAAATATGTGACAGAGAGAGAGAGGAGAGAGAGAGAGAGAGAGAGAGCGAGAGAGGTTGGAACGCCGCTCTCATCTTTGTATTCTGGGATTTTTCTTTGTTTTCTTTTTAGCACTCCCGAAAGGATGTGCAATAACAGAGCCCTCTTCCTGACTGACTGAAAAGAGAGCTATTTTTGCCACAAGGCCTTGATTAAAACAAAATCTCGCTGAGGATAAAAGCCAGTGGAAGTCTGAGCTCGCCTCACACCCATTGATAGAGAGCGTCTCCTCTTAAAATAGGATCCTTTAGTGAAACTACTACGTGATCTTTTACATTTACTGATAAAACTACTACAAATCTACATGCTCTTACTCAAGAAACATTAATATCACACTGTAAATTATTATGATTTTACAGTTAAAAAGAAATATTATATACACTTGAAGTCAGAATTATTGGCCCTCCTGAATTATTAGCCCCCCTGTTTATTTTTCCCCAATTTCAGTTAAACAGAGAGAAGTTTTTTTTCAACACATTTCTAAACAAAATAGTTTAAATAACTCATTTCTAATAACTGATTTATATACCTTTGCCATGATGACAGTAAATAATGTTTGAATATATATTTTTCAAGACACTTCTATACAGCTTAAAGCAGGGGTCTCAAACTCGCGGCCCGCGGGCCATTTGCGGCCCTCAGTGCAATATTTTGTGGCCCGCGCCGACCGCTGCACACTGACAGAATCAGCGGAGCGGGGAGAGAGAGCGCTCCCCGCTCCGCTGATTCTATCCATACACAGCGGTCACTGGCATTCCCCGCCTGCCATGTTAACAAAGGGGCGGGGATGACGGTGACGTTACCACGCACCCCGCCCCTTTGTTAGACGCTGTGACGGGCGGGAAGTGTTAGGAGGGAACTCGCGCCGGCCAGAACCAAGGTAAGCTGTTCCCGCCCCTGCCTGCCACTTAGCTACCTATCTGCAGCCTGCCACCTACCTAGCTACAGCCTGCATCTTATATATATTATAGAGAGATACAGACTGGTACAGACTGATGTGACTGGAGTGGGGTGGGGGTGTTTTATTTATACATATATACGCCTTTTTTTAGGTGAGGGAATGGAAGTTTTGAGTGAGTTCCCCCACTTTTTTCTGTGTGAGAAGTTATTCTCCACCTTGAACTTCAATAAGTCAAAGTACAGGTCTAGACTTAATGATGATCATCTTCAAGCCATACTGAGGGTCTCAACTGCTTCCGCTCTAAAGCCAAATGTGGTTCAGATTTGTGAGATGAAGCGCTGTGAAGTCTCTGGCAGCAAGGAGTAGGCAAAAGATGCCATGTTCAGAAGAACTGTTCATAATCTTCACTCAATGTTCTATTAATGTTCAGGACACTTCATGTCCAGAAGAAATAATTAAAACTGTTAATAATGACATTTGAGGACTTTTTTTTTTGTGAAATCCCTTATGCTGCCCAGCCTCACCCAGACTTTGCCTCCTGCGGCCCCCAGGTAAATTGAGTTTGAGACCCCTGGCTTAAAGTGACATTCAAAGGCTTAACTAGGTTAATTAGGTTAACGACTTTTGTCTTTAAAATGATGTTAAAACAAAAAAAGACTTTCTCCAGAAGAAAAATATTATCAGACATACTGTGAAAATTTGAAAATGTCCTTGCTCTGTTAAACATTAAACATTATAATTCTGACTTCAACTATATATATATATATATATATATATATATATTTATATATAAATGTTACAATAAAAAAGAAAGTAAAATAACTTATTATTATTGTTTTTTATTTGAATTAGTTTTTAAATAAAATAATTGTTTAACAATTCTTTTATTCAGCATGTGTACATTTAATTAATTAGAAGTGAAGACAATGAAAAATGTCATAAAAGATTTCTAATCCCTAATCTTTTAAACTTTTATTAATCAATTATTAATAAAATGAATTATAGGTGGATTACTGTACCAGTTCATAAACATTCAAAATGCTCATGCATTGAGGTTGCAGAAAAAAAAACTGAGAGCGCTAGCATTTACAGCGAGGGAATGACATCCGATGATGTACAGAGTTTGTTGTTGTATTAAAGATAAGTTGTATTGATTACTTATTATATACAGTATATTATTTACATAATGCTTTCAGCATATTATAACAGATTCTCACCCAGTTATTCTGCAAAATTAAAGTTAAAGTGAGCGGCGTTCATCTGACAGGTCCATTTGTAATATCACCCTCCCAATGTATATTGGATAAGAAGAAATGGCCAAGCATCCAGCCCCAAATATACAATCTCATTGAAACTCCAAGTGATTTTACAAGAGAGAAGTTAAAGGCCTACAAGTCATTGGATGCCTACAATTTTGGGTAATGCTTTCTTTTACAACCCGCAAAGTGTCGCGTAAGTACAGTGAAATAACGGTGTACTTTTCTGTATGTATAGTATAAGTATAAAGAACGAGAACGTATGTGTAGGTATAAGGGAACAAACTGTAATGCTTGGGTAATAAGGGGGTAACAACTAGATATGCAACATGCAAAGTACCTGTAATATACTTACTATTTCCAAGTGACACAGAATTTGATATATAAAACTGCAAATACTTTAATTCAAAGTTTGTAATGCCTGCACTTATACTTAAACTTTTTCTCATTTCGCTTTAATTATTATTACTATAAATTATTACAATCTCCCATATGATCTGATGATAGTAGTTTTGGTTCATAGATATATACTCTAGATATCGCATAGGGACCCTGAGCATGCGTCAATAGCGCCGCCACATTGGTACAGTGCTCCCAGGACAAGAGTCATTCAACCGCACTAGTCAAGACAGTGTTATTACGTGAAGATGCGGGACTTCAGCGCTGCCTATGGGTGCATTCACCATACGGCAAAGCAGCACCAACTCGCACTAAACACTCGGCTTATGCTAGTTTTGTTGAATAAAATCAGCAAACAATGCAAAAGAAATATGACAACCAGATGCTGCGCTGCCAGAAACTTGTATTATTGTCGGCTAACGTTAGTGAACGAGTCGTTCGGGGGATTCATTCACAAACGAATCGCTCCCTCCGTCAGTATAAGGAGTGAAAGCAGGAGAGGAGATGTGTTGCAGGACAGGATTAGATCAAATTTAACAGGGAGGAAGGATAGTACATTTCTGTCCACACAAACACAAGCTTTTTGTCAGGAATGCCCGTGCGGTCACTGATCCATCAGTGTAGAAAAGTGATGTAAAATTATAATTTTCGTAATTAGAAAAAAAAAATTACATACTAACATCCAGGAAAACTCCCGATCCTAGATATATGTGTATATGTGTATATCTCTGGCTTTGGATGGCCACAGTCCTCCACTGTACCTTGGTCCCGCATTCATTTCAAAGGAGCGCTACCCTGTAGCAAGATGGCGGCGCTATTGACGCATTCCGTCCAATAGACAACAATAGGCCAGGCGACATCTAGTGTATATATCTATGGTTTTGGTTGATAGTAATGTATAGTATCCATATGGTATCTCTAAATGTGAAATTGTTGGACAACCAACACACACGCATATTAAACAGCAAAAGGAACATGTATAGCTTGCTAAAAACCTTTATGTCTGTTCGTATTTTTTATATAAAATGCAGAGCAGCAAGACCCATGGGATTCCATCAGCTACTCATCGGTACTCATCAGAGTCCTCAGTGGAAGTTAAGAAGAAGAAGAGCAGAAAAAAAGAAACCAAGCAAGAGATGCCAAAAAAAAAAAAGTGGGAAGGAAATAATGTGTTGTTTTGTTGTTTGATTACAGGCAATGATACTCAAGACAATGTTTGATTAAGATTAAGTGTTTTAAAATGCCTTTTTATTAAAATAAAGGTTACAAAATAAAGAAATATATTGTGTTTTTGTATATTTATTTCACTACCTTCAAGACCTTACCATGATGTAATTACATTTTAACTACAAGGAACAAGATGGGAACAATGCTTCACTTTAATTTACCACCTGCAAATTCTGTATTTACCATTTAACTACAGGGAACAAGGGGGGAGCAATTCTTCACTTTAATTTACAACCTACAATTGCTGTTTTTACCTTTTAACCACAGGGAACAAGGGGGGAAGAAATACTGTAATTACCCTTTAACTACAGGGAACAAAGAGGGAAGGAGCTGAACTTCAATGCATAAGTGCATATTTGAACAGTAAGAACAGAGAAAACTACAGCAGCGGCTTTAATTAATTGAAGAATTACACACTACATTTTTCTATAAAAAAATCAGCTATACATTCACTCAAATGCAACAGTTGGTCCCTTCCACACCAAACAAACAGCAGTAAAGGTGCCAGCCTGTTTTAATCTGCATTGAACCCTGACAGTAGGCCTACTGTACATCATGCAGAGTTAGCCTATATGTTGCAAGTGATGTTGAGACACTGCTGGTGGTGGTGAGACCGACAACTACACTTTCATAAGGTAAGTAGTGTATGGAAATATATTTTTATATTGAATTGCAGATTTAAAATACATACAGTATACAATATGGTTTCATAATTTCATTTCCATATACTTTCACAATACTTTGCGTAATGCATTTCTGATTGTTAACCTCTTACTACCCAAGCATTACAGTTTGTTCCCTTTTGCCTACACATATGTTCTTTATACTTATACTATATGTACAGCAAAGTACAATGCTATTTCACTGTACTTACGTGGTACTTTGTGGGTTGTAAAAGAAAGCGTTACCCAAATGAGAGTAATTTCAGAAATATCATGAAAGAAATGTGTGAAAGCTGGTACAACGGTTGAGGAACATTCTGATGTTGTGATCACAGGAAGAAATGTAATGAAACATAAACCAGCTATTACAAATTGTGATAATCTTTTTAAAGATATATCAAGCAGTACTGCTTAAACACACACTCACCGTCCACAGAGATACGAGCCTCACTGGATTCACAGCCCTGCTGGTTGCATGCTGTACAAATGTACAGACCACTGTCCTCTTTTTTCACCCTCTGGATGGTCAAGACACGATTTGAGCGTTTCAGAATTACACCTGACAACAGAAAAGCATCAACATGAGCATTACTGTTTATTGTAGAAAAACAATTAAACTCACTATATCAAAAGATACACTTGTTTAAACTGACTTAAGTCATTTTAGAAGTATACAAACAAAAAGAATTATTCCAAAAAAAAAAAACAGATTCACCTCCAGCAGTGCAGCAAAGTAAAAGAAACTATTCATCATACACTTTTGTACATAATTCACTTTCTAAGACAGAGGAAGAGTAACCTGTGTTGCAAAATAATTTTAACAGATAAAAAACAGTATTATATATATATATATATATATATATATATATATATATATATATATATATATATATATATATATATATATATATATATAAATCAGAATAATTATTGTATTATTTAATTAGCAATGAAGGAGTAAACTCATAAAAATAGTTAAAAATAATTTTTGGTACTGAAACAACCTATACAAATTTAAACAAATACAGAAATACATGTTCTTTACACACAATTAAACAAAAACACACAATTAAACCTCTAAAAGTACTGTATCCATTCATTTTATGAAGCAAAAAAAAATAATCTGTATATGCGTCTATCATTAAATATGTATCTAAGACAGTTAGTCTGCAGATGAACTGTTTAGCAAATAATGTTCACTCATCAGCAATGTTGGTAGTACGTTGTATATTATTATTTTTAATGATCTTTTATTTTGGTATTTTTATTTGACTTTAGTTTGTTTTTTAAGTTAGTTGTTTAAACAAAAAAGTTGTTTAACTGCTCAAGTAAAACTAAGTTTACTATAATTAGTTTTAGTAAATTTAAAGGGGTGGTCCACTACGATATCATATTTTAAGCTTTAGTTGGTGTGTAATGTAGCTGCGTGAACATAAACAACATCTCTGAATGTAAAATGCTCAAAGTTAAATGCAAAGGGAAACATTGGCTTATACAGATTTAGCTTAGCGAAGCCAACAGCGAACAAAGTTTGGGGACTACAAAAATCAACATCCAGGCTAGTGAGATCACAAACGCTTCAGATTGTGCCCATTCATTACACGCATACACCCCGTGCAGCAAAGGGGCATGGCCAGAGGCGATGTAATGTAATAGCAGAGAAAGCTAAAATGGTGTCCAAATGCTGCTATTTCCACAGAGCTTGTTTTGTTTCTGCTTACAATTTAATTTTAATTATGTTCCAGCAATTATAAAAAAATAGATAGATAGCATTTGACAAAGGACAGCTTCCAGAATCTCTCCCATTTCAGTGCTGGATTCAGCTAAAAACTCCTTCAACCGACGAAGCTGTGGATTGTGAGACACAACTTGTAAGTATTTCTATTTGTTAAAATTGACCTATGACATGCAGTTTCTAGCATTATTGGTGTGTTGTAGCGAGGATGTAAACAAGGATGTAAACAACGGGAAATGCTGTTTGGCACTGTTAACAATTTAGCTACAAATTCATATTTATCTGCCAAACCGGTAAAAACACCCACAATCTTCAGCAGCACTGCAGTGTCTCTCTATGCAGCTGCTTTCCGTGCATTACATCTCAAATAACAAACTTGCAAAAGATATGTGAACGTTTCATATTACTTACACATGCTTAGAACCCAAATATATGTGAAAGACACGTGTCAAATTTTATTTTAGAGAGCAGGCGTGAGGTTCAGCTCTGTCCTCTATGTGATTTTCTGTTTGATTCAGGCACAAACTGATACTCTGGCTGATAGTGTTTACACAATGCAAAAGCGTGTGCTTGTAGGGGCGTGACGCTTTTCCTGGAGCTGATGCCTGAATCATAGAACATTATGTTAGCTGACTAATCAGAGCCTCCTGAGGGCCGGCCTTTCAGAAGAACTAGGAAATATGAGAATGGTTTTCATGTTAGCTGAGTAGCTGTATATAATCAAAGTAAAATTTATTTTAAAAAATTATGTGATTTTTTTTACAAATGAAGCATGATCACACATTGCTTTGCATCTTATACATACAACCAAGCCTTAAAAACACACTCTGGACCACCCCTTTAAACAGCACTACTTGTCTATACTTCAGAAACCTGTGTAGTTTATTCCAGCCTTAATGGAGCTGTCACTGAGGATCTGAAGAGAGGTGTTATTGTTGTTGCTTCTTTACACTTCTACAGATGTTTTCTTGATCTCACCTGAACCCTCCATAACAGTCTGGTTGTCTTTAGTCCAGACTATAGTAGGGGTCGGTGTGCCGGACACTTCACACACTAGAGTGGTGGAGTCGCTTACGTTCACTCTCTGGTCCGTCAGATTAGTCACAATTCTGGACATCTCAAGAGCTGCAAAAACATAAAAACTAATTAGAAACCGACTAAATATATCAAACCTGAACATTAGCAAACTAAGCAAGGTAATTCTATTACATGTATGGTTTGTGCACCACTATAGGGCTGCAGGGTAATGTTTAAACTGCTAATGACTAATTAGACTAATAACTACTCAATTTTATTTCAATAAAATGAAATTAAAAACACTTTCATTTTGTGATGAATAATTTTACATTTAGATTCCTGATCTATTATATTAATCACTGGTTATGATGAGATGTAAGATTTTGGTGTCTGTATCAAATTACATTTGTGACTTGACAGGCATACCCTGTCAAAAGCAAATAGCTACTTTACTAACTACCAATAGCAGCACAAGTTAAAGTACAGCAGGCTCTGACTAAGGGTGTGTTCACACCTAGACTTTTGTTTCGGAACCTGTCTCGTTTGCCCAGTTAGCGCGGTTCGTTTGGCATATGTGAAAACACAAATCGCTCTCAGATCCGAGATTGCTTGAATGAGGTGGTCTCAGCTCGATTGATACGAACACTGGAGCGGATCGATTGTAATGAGAAAGCGATACGATCCTAGCCCGGTTATATCACAGTGTTTTATGTATTTGTAATAGGCATACGTCTATATAAAAGAGAATTATGAGTAGGGCGGGAGCCGGGAGGTCATTCAATAGACATCCCTAGTCTCACCCCTCCCCACTGCATCCCTCCTCGCTCTTCAGACAAGTCGCGCGCATCTTGTCAAACACTACCAAACCACTACCATCGCCCAGACAGCTGAGCGGGACAAAAATTAACCATGAAACTCTGACCAATGAGAGTAGAGTTTACTCACACGTGACTTGTTTTAGCTCTTTTGGTCCATTTAGAAACTTTGCCATGTGAAAGCGAACCGCACCAAGAACAAAGAGCAACAATGTAACAATTTTAATCCCTGTTTCGGAACAACTGAATCGATTCACAGGTGTGAAAGCACCCCAAAAGTAAGTTACTTGAGTAAGTAATTAAAGTAATTTACTTAATCTTTATAAAACACCTATTTTACCCCTTTTTCAAGGGTTAAGAGAAGTCTTTTGTGTCTCCAGAATGTGTCTGTAAAGTTTCAGCTCAAAACACCCATCAGATTATTTATTATAGCTTTCAGAATATTGGGATTTTCTGCTCTGAACACACTGTAGCTGTTTTAGTGGCCTGTGCCTTTAATGCAAGTTTTCCCGGCCCACCGTTCCCACGTGCCTTTCAGAGTGTGCCTCAATCTCTGCCTTGGCTGCATCAGATAAAAAGCACATGGACAGACTTGAAAGAAGCAGATCTCATGTAATGTTTGTGAGAAATACAACAGTAAAATCTTTCGAAACCATGTGATACTTGTTACCAATGCAAGATGACACAAATGCGAATGAAACATTTCCAAAATTAAAAGTTAGTATGAGGGTGTTTTCACACTTGCCTTATTTAGTTCAGTTGAATCTTGGTGCAGTTCATTTGGGCAGGTGTTAATGTAGCAATCGGACTGAAGTGTGCTCCAAAAGAGGACCAAAAAAGCATACCGAGACCTCCTTAAAGAGGTGGTCTCGATATGCTTTCAAACAAACCCCGGAGTGGTTTGTTTGTGGAGAAAACATGATCCGAACTAGAACAGACCCAACCGCAAAAAGTACTGCGCCTTTTTGGATTAATACAGCTGCTGTAGTCCGATGTATAGTAGAAAATGTGTAGTTTGTCCAAAGTGATGTATGCTAACTATATAGTACACTATGACCAGGGATACAATCAGCCAGTGCAGTCGTCTCTTCATAGTAAAAAGCGACATTTTATGTCAGTTTATTTAATTGCGGTAATTCCATTGGCTTTTCCCCACATGTTAATTTTGACAAATCGAAAACCAGTTAAGGAAATACGTTCAATAACATCTGGCCAATAAGTGATGTGGATTTTATCACATGACTGCATTTTGGTTCTTTTCAACTGGTTCGGACCAAAGCAATCAGTGTGGTGTGAAAAGGACCCAAAATGGCAGAAAATTGCGACAATGTTGCCCTTGGGCTGGACCAAATGAATTGAACAACAGATGTGAAAGCACACTGAGATAATTACAGTCAAGTCTGAAATTAGCCATACCCTAGTGTATCCACCACACATACCACACTTTAGCATCTCCAACAATTGAAATACTAAAAATAATGACTGTTTTCAAACAGGTTTCCACTCAATGTAAACTAAGGACCTACCTCTGAGTCTGAGATTGTGAAGTAAGCAGGTTTTCTCATTGGTGCCCACAATCTCCACCTGGCAAGCGTACAAGCCTTGGTCCATCATTGTGGCATTGGGTATGGGCATGTCCAGTGTGACATTGGTCCCCTGCAGGCCTGAAACAGTGACGTTGGGCTGGTGTAAGTGTGACAGTGTGAGAGTATCACACGGCACAGCTGCTGGAGGTGGATCATGGTTGGCTACATTTGCTACCCGATACCAGCGCAAGTTATAGTACAGCAGCCGGTCTGCTACACAACGCATTATAACATCCTGTCCTTCAATAGGGCTGCTGGAGGGGAGGACGCTTAGGTTGAGAAAACCTGTGAATAAGACAAATATATGAAGGTTGAACTTGATTATATCTTTACTTAAATCCAATTTAATTTGGGATTGTCATAGGTTTGGAGGCACTTACGAGTTACTTGAAACACAATGACTCGCTGATCTTGACCCATCTTATTGGTAGCGATGCACCTGTATAGGGCATGATCCACTGCTTTCTGGATCTTCAGAGTGCTGATGGTCTGCAGAAAGGCACATTGTGTATAAAATGCATTTTTACCAGATTTATCAAGATTAACCCTCAATACAGAAACTTGGTGCATAAATTAAAAAGCTCATCTTTTGCATTTTCAAAATTAAATGTTAGGATAAAAAAAGTACATGAATTTCAAGAAAGTCTTTGAATCTGGTTTATCCACTTTGATTTAATGAGATAAATACCGTAAAATGATGATCTAGGATGACATTCGCTGATTCAGTTAATATGTTAAAAGAATAGTTTACCCAAAAAGTAAAATAATCACCAATTTAATCAACATGGGGATCCAAGTTTATTAGTTTCTTTCTTTTTTGAACACAAAATGATATATCTAAAAATGCTGGTAACTGATAAACGCTGGCTATAAAGGGTGTCAAAATAACCGGTTACTACGTACTGCCATCATTTCTGTCATATGCGCTATATGTCATGCTAGAATACTATGGCAAAGCTGGCGAGGGTTAATAAATAAAATGCTCCAACTATTTAAAAACAGACAACTGTGCACAATTGACTGCTTGCAATTTTTCTTTCACTAACATTGAAGTACAGTAGAAGCCAGGAGCTGCCATTTCACTGCTAGGGAGAAAAGGAATGCTTTAAAACTCCATCTCTCTCACATTGCACCTTTGAATTATTGGCATATTTGTAAGGTCAATTTTCCTCTCCTCTCGGTGGTTAAAGCGATACTTGTGGAAATGAAAGCATTGTCAATGCATCATGATGCACCAAAAAACTGAACCCAAATCGATGGCATGATAACTGTAACCAAACCGAACTGTGAGAGCAGCGTAGGTTCACACCCCTATTGGCTGTTTACATGCACCCAAATAATCCATTTGTAATCAGATTTACAGTTCAATTGAAATGTTCAATTAAACAACATTTATATAAATACCTTAATCTATCAGATTGAGCTCTTCCTTTTCTAATCCAATCCAATCGCAAAAAAAAAATATATATATATATATATGTGTGTGTGTGTGTGTGTAATCACTTTAATCTGACTACTTCAATCATTTTCAGAAGTCTTTGGGGCACATGTGCATACTTCAGTATATTTAGATTGTAGGTTAATGCTGGAGAAATAGGCATTGGTAGTGTGATCATAACCCATTGAAGGCAAATTATAACTTTAACATAGCTGCCAACTCTCACGCATTTGGCGTGAGAGTCACGCAATTGACAGTATTCTAACTCTCTCATGCCACACATCCATTTTCTCATGCAGAAAAATCATCTCAGTGAAATTTTTTTTTTGCTTTAATAAAGAGTTTTAAAGACTTTTTTTCGTTATATAAAGACTTTATTCTCTGTTTGAAACCGAATCAAGGCTGGTGAAAGCCATGTAATCAAAAACAAACTGACGCATGCTTGCAGATGGCATGTCCGCACGCCTCTCACCCCTCTCCTGCTTGCGCTGACACGCTGCTCGCGTTCCTGCTCCATGTATGAATCCTAGTTGTAAACATTCATGTCAAAAAAATATGCGCAGCTCACACGCCACTTATGCATTTTATGGCAGGAATAACAGCCTTTCATGAAGGCTGCAGTGAGTTTGCAAGTCTAAAGTTTAAACAATATGGTCTTATTTTTGACTAATGGCTCCTGATAGATTGTTTTTTTATAAAGCAGAAAGGAGGGATGAGGTCAGGGAGTTTAGACTTCATTCCTTCATTCATTTTCTTTTTGGTCTCTTTATTAATCTTGGGTCGCCACAGTGGAATGAACCGCCAACTTATCCAGCATATGTTTTACGCAGCGGATGCCCTTCCAGCTGCAACCCATCACTGGGAAACATCCATACAATCTCATTCACACACATACACTAGGGACAATTTGGAGTTTAGACTTAATAAACCTAATTCTCGGCCATGAGTCAGGTCTAAGACAACACACAACAGATAATTCTATAAAACATATTTTTTTTGTGTTCTATACAATTGTCTATAGAATTTCATTCTAATGAAATTAATATTTATGCAAAAAAAAAAAAAAAACTTAAATGATCTTAGCATACACTGTAAAGAAAAAAACTAATTTTACAGAAAATATCGTAAAATTTTTTACAGTAATTTTTTTGTCATTTAAAATTTTATTCAAAACTTCGTAAAATGACAAACAATCTCTCCAAATGAACAATGTGACTTTCATTTTAGGTACTTTATCATTAAAGACAAATTACAGACAATTTTATTTATTATACAGGGAAATTACAGTATTATTTATAGAGTATTTTTTCTGTTATTTTAAATTATATTCAAAAGTCTGTAAAAATTACAAACAATGTTTGTAAATTAACAGCTTGACTGTTATTTTACGTACTATATAATTAATGACAAATTACAGCAAATTATACAATAAATTTGTCGTATTATTTACACAGTGTTTTTTCCTGTTTTTTTTTTTGTTTTTTTTTTAAGTACATTTAAAACGATGTAAAATTAAAGTAATCAAGTGTAATTACTTGCTCTGTAAAAAAAAAAAAAAAAATTCGTACAAAAAGTGACTGGCAGCTAGGGCTGCCAAACAAAAGACATAATACTGTTAAATTTCTTTGTTGAAATAAAGTGCAAAAGATAATAAATCTACAGATTTTTTCATTAAATGTTTACAGAAAAACACTTATTTTACAGACTTTTCCCAGGTTATCCCAGCTACATTTACATGCACCAACTTTCGTCAATATGAATGAATTGAATCCAATTGCCAGATCTGTTTACATGTACTCATTGTAGTCTGATTAAATTATGTGTCTAAATGTGTTTTCTATACATCATTTTTGCATATTGCGACAGCATAGACATGACACCAACAGAGCTCATGCCATATGAGGGGAAAATGTTATAGAAGTCAGTGACTACTGCTTTCCAGCATTCTTCAAAAAGTCTTGTTTTAAGTTCAACAGAAGAAAGAAACTCAAACAGGTTTGGAACAAGCAAAGGGTGAGCAAATGAAGACAGAATTTTTATTTTTGTGTAAACTATTCCTTTAAACTTCAGTAAAATCAAGATCATATGACTGTATGTACAAAGCAGCTGATACACTTGCTTATTTGATTAGCAACCCAGAATCTTAAATATTTCTTATAAATGATACATCCGAACACGTCATTGTTTTAAGTTTATTAACAAGTTAAAATTGGATTTTGAACGCCAGTCTCAGATATTTGGACCCAGCAGTTTATTTCCATGGTGACAACTCTATGTTTGTTCAAAAGTAATAGTAGGTTATCTACCTTGAGAGTGCGTTCATCAACAGATGTCTGGCTGATGAGGGGATTCTTTCCTGTGTTGTTTGACATCTCCCTCCATTTGTCACACTTTGCCATCCTCGTATCTGATTTTGGTCTGTAAATAACACACAACAATATGATAATTTGACAATTTTTGAAAAACTCAAAAATAAATTGTATTATAATTAATTATGTTAAATACTAATAATAATAATTTTCATAATAATATTAATAATAATAGCATTTTTTATTTATTATATATGACTATATACTATTTATATGTGGTATATTACCATATACCATACATAAATATTATATAGTAATATACAATTAATTTATTATATACTATTTATATGTTATGTATATTATTATTATAATTATAATTATTTATTATTATAATAATTAATTTAATAATTAAATAATTAATGTTAATTTGAATTAAATTGTGCTATAACAACAATACAATTTGTACAGACAGTATTCAATTCAATTCAATTCAGCTTTATTTGTATAGCGCTTTTACAATGTAGATTGTGTCAAAGCAGCTTCACATAAATGGTCATAGTAACTGGAACAGTGTGGTTCAGGTTTTAGTGTTTAAGTTCAGTTCAGTTCAGTTTAGCTCAGTTCAGTGTGATTTAATCATTACTGAGAGTTCAAACACCGAAGAGCAAATTCATCGATGCGTAGCTCTACCAATCCTGAACCATGCGAGGCAGTGGCGACAGTACGATGTAAAATAAAATTTTTCTTATTATATTATTATTAATATTATTATTAAAACATATTGTATTCATTTTATTTAATACAATAGTAACAATGTCAAAATGTGACAATAATACATAATAAAATAGTAATAATATTAATAATAATAAATAATAATAATAATTATAATATTATTATTAATAATAATAATAATACTAATCATAGCAATAATAATAATAATCATTACATAATAATAATAATCATCATCATAATAACAATGATAATAATAATAATATTAGTAATAATAATAATAATCAAAATCATGGTAGTAATAATAATAAAAAATATTATTACTATCATTATTGTTGTTATTATTTTATTATTATTATTATTATTATTATTATTATTATTATTATTACTGTTAAAAACATATTGCATTCATTTTGTTATTTAGTACTATGATAATTACAATATCAAAATGTGACAATAATACAAAATTAAAGAATAATGATAATAATTAATACAACAATAACAATAAATAATAATAATAATAATAATAATAATAATAATATTAATAGAATAATAATAATAATTATTATTATTATTATTATTATATTTTTCAAGTAATTTATTTTTATGCTGTTTTAAAACAATAATAGATATTGCATATAAAATACAATGTAATATAAATTTTCTTCCAGAATTTACGTTATTATTATTATTTTTACTATTCTTTAAAAAACATAATGTATTCATTTTGTTCTCTAGTACAATAATAATAACTATATCTAAATGTGACAATGCAAAATTAAATAATAATGATAACAACAACAACAAAAACAATAATAATAATAATAATTATTATTATTATTATTATTATTATTATTATTATTATTATATTTTCCAGTAATTTATTTTTATGTTGTTTTACAACAATAGTAGATATTGCTCATATAGTACAATGTAATATAAAATTTCTTCCAGAATTTATGCTATTATTATTATTACTATTTAAAAAAAACATAATGTATTCATTTTGTTCTTCAGTACAATAATAATAACTATATCAAAATGTGACAATAATACACAATTAAATAATAACTATAATAATATTAACATCAACAATAATAATTATTATTTATTATTATTATTATTATTATCATCATCATTTTATTGTTATTATTTTTGTATTAATAATACAGAAAAATTTAAAAAGCATTACATGTAAAAAAAATTCTCCATGTCAACATTCAATACTATGAATATTAAATTGCATGTATTATTTAATAAATAATATATTATCTGGTAATATATTAACATACATATTCATCTCAAAAGACAGCATGCACACAGAAATAAACTCTTGTATCTATCTCCCCTTCTTGAGGAGGAACAGAAAACAACAGACTGAATCAACAACAACAATGCATCTATTATTAACAATCTAAATTTAAATATCCTGTAACCGATTGCCATGCAAAGATTTATGAGCAAGCACAATAATCATAAATGTCAACAAACTTGTGTTCATCATTTAAGCACCTCATGTAGGTCAGAGATGAGCAAAAGGGAAAGAGGGGGGAAAAAGATGGTAAACACAAAAAAAGCACGCAGAAAATCTGTACTCAAAGGTGAGAATGAAGGTGAACTCTGGTTAGCCGGACACAGAGACAGAGTTTGTGTTATTTCCATGTCTGATCAAGGACACGGATTTGAATGCTCGTCTGTTTTTAGAACAACAGGAAGTTGTGATGAGGACCGAGGAAGTAGATGAGGAGGTGCAATCTGGAGATAAGACTCAACGTTCATTACATGGTCACAACATCCTTGAAAGTGACGTTCTGTGAATGGAGGCTGAAAATCAGCATAAACCTGAGCTCACAGAGTCTTGCTGAAGAAAACAGGCTGGTTGGCTCAATCTCAGCAGCAGTTTCAGGATGAATGCCCAATTAGAGCACAACATGCTACTGAACTGCACAGTGGGAAAGACTTAAACACCAGGGAAAAATATGCTAACAGAGTTGTCATCTCTTGAAATGGAGAGCTAAACAAACTCAACAAATCCTACAGCAAACTATGGCTGTTTCAGAAACAAGGTTAAGTGTAAACTCAGAGTATGTTAACCCTGAAATGAGGGAGATCCTGTTTCTGAAAATCAGTTACAATAACATGGTAACTTAGTCGCTAGACCTAAGCCGTTCTGAAACAGGTTTTCTTTGTTTCATCTTACTTTTAAAATCATAAGAAATTTAAATACCTCTTTGTTTAGATGATGGCAATTTCAGGGGCATTGCTAGGGTCGAAAGGGATAAGGGGCTTAGCCCCAAAGAAGTCCACCTCCCCACCCAACCCAACCCAAAAAAATAATAATTCTAATTCACTGTGCTAAAATACCCCCACTTTCAAAAGGTGATCTACTCTTATCTTAATAACATGATTATGAATGGTTTAATAATAAATAAAGCGTTTTTGATTGGACAGAATTTTAACAATAAATTGTGAAAATTTGTGACTTGTAACACCAACAAGGAAAAAACATTGATAAATGAACCCACTTCTCATTTACTAGTCTGTTATGAGTCATATCATAACTCTTGAGCCTCCAATCTCCTCCTGATTTGCAGTTTCTGTTTGTTTTTTGTAAATGTAATTTTCTGCATGTCTTCAAATCTGAAAATATGATTTATTTTATAGTGTGAGTTGTTATCCAAAGTGAAGCTACAAACATGTTCATTTGGACAGAGTGATTAACTAAAGTGTAGTGTTGTCATTATACTGGAATTTCTAAGGGTGCTTTCACATCTACACTTTTGTTTCGGAACGTGTCTCGTTTGCCCAGTTAGCGCGGTTCGTTTGGCATATGTGAACAGGGCAATCGCGCTCTGTTTTGCGCCAAAGTAATCGCTCCGAGAACGCTTCAATGAGGTGGTCTCGGCTCGATTGAAACGAACCCTAGAGCGGTTCGATTGCAGTGAGAAAGCGAATCGCTCCAAGACCAAAGAGCAACAATGTAACATTTGTAATCTCTGTTTCGGAACAACTGAATCGATTCATAGGTGTGAAAGCACCCTAAATCCAATACCTTGCAAAATATTGATATTCAATACACTACTTTTTTATATAATATCAATTGTGTCAAAAATAGTACAAAAAAATGTATATGCTAGAAATGTTTACTTCAAATTTCTTTAGAGTTTCTTTTTAATTTTCCTCAAAAAAGGGTCATGTGGGCATTGTAGCACTTTAAATGCATTTAATGACATATTCATTCATACTTAAGCAGAAATTCCATATATGCCTCACAAAAGTAGTAGAACATTCCAGGAAATCCCTAATATGGATAAAGGCATCCAGCAAATGCTGTAGTTGAATGAAAAAAAGATCTGATTTATAATCTGATGCTAACTGACATAGCATGTTACAGTAGAATATAGCTTTAAAATAATACGCTTGACTGACTGCGATTGAACTATTACAGAAACAGATGTGACTGGCTATATCATATCTAGATAAATATGCCTAGATATCTATATCATATCTAGAAAGCTAATACAATGTACGTTTTTCTGACTAATTTGCATGAATTTCCATTGATATGATGTACAGTTTATTGATTACAGTTATTTTATTTTACCAAAACTATACACATTTTATACTCATTCATTCATTTTCTTGTCGGCTTAGTCCCTTTATTAATCCGGGGTCGCCACAGCAGAATGAACCACCAACTTATCCAGCAAGTTTTTACGCAGCGGATGCCCTTCCAACCGCAACCCATCTCTGGGAAACATCCACAAACACACATTCACACACACAAACACACTCATACACTACGGACAATTTAGCCTACCCAACTGCGCCACTGCCTCGCCCACCTTTTATGCTTAGTTTAGCGAAGAAGTTTAGCGAAACAGTTGTATTATTACCTCATCAGCTTCAGCTACTCAAAATAATGAATGAAGGATGACAGTGCAGTGGCGGGAATTTTTTAACAGCTTCTGACAACAGTGCCACTCCCACATGCCGGTAGAAACAGGTACTGCTGAACAGCTGACTATTTAATTACGGGACACAAATGCTGTGTTAAGTGGAATGCGCGTGATGTATGTAGTCATTTTAAAGGGCCATGAAACCCCCTCATTTCAGAAAAGTGGGCGTGTCCAGCTCTGTTTAGGGGGGAGTGTCGGAGGAACAAAAGTGGGAAGGTGTGGGAGTGTCTATTTGGGCATGCGCTGAGTTTCAGAGGCAAAACACACACACACACACACACACACACACACACACACACACACACACACACACACACACAGAGGAGAAAGTGACTGTGTTTACATGGACATCTGTAGTCGAATTATTTGCCAAATTATTAAATGGTGGACTTTAACTGCAGTTTGGCTCTTTCATTCAAGGAATTCATTCTTGCCCCTCGCGACAAACGAGATATTTGATTCGAGGAACTGCTCTAAGCGTGTATTTTTCATGCAATGTTTGATACCGCACGGCGAATGAGAGAAAAAAACCCTCAGCATTTTCCGGAAACGTCGATGCACACGGCAGGTAGTGTCAGAAAGCTGCATGTGTTATTCCGGTCACAAAATGCGGTGAAAATCCTACACGAGGTTAAAGTTTGGTTGTGGTGCTAACATGTTACACTCGGTGTAATAGTTCTATACGAACTAACTGAATAAACAAAGAACACTGGTCGCTCACTGACCAAATCTGTAGAGACAGGACAATCACCAGCAACTAGAGCCACGTCTTTATTAAGAGGAGACTACAAGCGAATCCGGATCTCAGCATTTGCAGATGAGAACAGCTCTCAGGTAAACAATGTTCCTCCTTAGACACGCAAGTTATTGTTGTTGAGCGTCGCGTACACTGTGCACTCTCACAGAGAGAAAATGAAAACAAAACTTAACTGCAGCAAACTATAAAAGCAACACATCACGCTTGTTTTGCTTGTTTTTTGATTTTGACAGTAATGAATATTAATGAAGTTGCACAATAGAGTGCGCTGATTGGTTTGAAACAAGTTTTACTCATGCATTAATGCAGCGCACTCGGAGACGTAATAAGGCACTCCAAGGCACAGACGTCCAGTCTACACGCTGGAACAGATGCTAAGATCTCATGGCCGTGACACAGCTTCAAAAATTTGTTTCAAACTGGAAGTACAAATTTGCTCGAAATAAGGCAAAAACAACCAATTTTCACTTTTTAGTGAGATATATTTGTCCTAATAGTGTTCTTAGCAGTGTGAGACACATATACGTCTGTCAACAGCTCAAAAAATGTGTTTTGGTGTTTCGTGAGCCTTTAAGTACTTCTTATCTTATCTTATAAGACCTATTTTTATTTAAGTGCAACATATTCCAAAAGATCAGGGGTTTTTGGCAATACGACAGGGGCAATAGCCCCCACAGCTCCCAGCTTTACTTTACTTTCGTCAATCGGTGACGTTTTGTTCCTCGCCACTGTGGCCACTGACTTGCTTGGTTTGGGACTTGTGAAGCTAAGCATCGATGGATTTGCTCTTTAGTCTTTGGACTTCCTGCAATGAAAATTAAACCACACTGAAATAAACTAAACTGAACATCAACTAGAAAGTTTATGTTAAGCTGCTTTGACACAATCTACATTGTAAAAGTGCTATAGATATAAAGATGAATTGGTTTAAATCATTTTGTAGAGCATCATATGTGTCACTCCATTGTTCTTGACTGTTTGGTGCCATCCTGTGACTGAATGACAATAATAATAATAATAATAATAATAATAATAATAATAATAATAATAATAATAATAATAATAATAATAATCAGTTTAGTGCAGGCTGCCATTTTCCATCTGCAATTTTCATTTATGCATGCCTCTCATTTAAGTAAAGAGCTAATAAAATATTAATAGTTGCCCACTGCTCTGGGTGTATGCTCAATGTGTGTGTACAGTATGTGTGTGCTCTTATTCCTCACTCAAAATGTGTGTGAAATTGGATGGGTTAAAAGGAGTGGACCAACTTTGAGTATGGGTAAAACCACACTTGACAAAGCTCACTTCACTTCCCTTTAATGATTTAGGCCTAATTGTTTACTTTTGTGCCAAGTAGTGGTGTAATAAGTGGCATCATGTACACCTAGCCAGTTGTTTTATTGTGACTGACCAATCTGAATCATGTATTCTAGAAAGCTGGGTAAAAATAATAGTGATAATACCAACCAGCTAGATATTGTCCATTATTTAATAAATACAGTAAAATAAATGCTGTAAAAACATTCATAGTTCATGTTAGCTAAAGCATGTTAACAAATAAGACATTATTTTAAAGGGTTACCTAGAATTTAATAAAATTTCTGACACACTCACACAAAATGAGTCTTTGCTATAAAAATGTCCTCAGGAATGTCCTCAGGAATTCTCCACTACGTTGCTGTCAAATAAACAGCTGCCATGCCAACTTGACACTGTAAGCAGAAGCTTGGAAAGCTTGGCCCGCCTCTGAGTTTATCTGATTGGCTCACTGCTTTGAAACTGACACCGGTGTGGTGCATTGCGCGTAAAAGTATACTCTTTTGACATGGTGTCATAAAAATGTGCCACTCATGTGTGGGCAAAATATGCAAAATATGCAAGTGTAATGGTCAACCAAACAAAGTGTATGTTTACATAGAAAAACAATGCAAAAGTAGCGCATTAAAATGGGAAAATTAGTTATGTGTCAATATCACTTACAGAAATCTGACTGGACAGTCTTCTCTGGGCATCCATTGCCATTTGATTGTGACAGGGCTGGATCCTCCACTAGCGGTGCAGGTCAGTGTAGGGCTACTGCCGTACATGTGGACATCACGATCCAACGACACATCCTTCTCAAAGATCCTGGGTAGATCTGAACATACAAACACTCAAGTTAATACAGCCTGAATCAAGAGAAGAGAGAATGAGAAGAGGTGATGGCAATACAAAAAATGGGGACAAAAGACAATAAGATATAAGACAAAAAATATAGGTGGCGAAAACAGAAGACATGAGAAGAGAGGAAAGAAACAAGAGATCAGAAGATGAGACAAAATGAGTCGAATTAAGAAAAAGTAAAAATAGATAAGGTGAGATAAGACAAGTGGTGACTCAAGACAAAAGACAATAAAAAAAGATGTAAAAATGACACAAGAAATGACAAGAGAAGATATGAGACAAGAAATTAGATCAGATCAGATGAAAACACAAAGGATGTGTCAATAAGAGAAATTGAGCCGAGGCAACAAAGCAAGAGGCAAGAAGGCAAAAAATGTCATGAGACAAGAACACAATCAATTAGATGACCAGAGAAGAGATGAGAAGACAAGAGACATGGAGACATTATGAGACAGGGACTAATTAAGACAACAAGAGAAGAGTTGAGGATACAAGAGAAAAGAAGACAAGAGATAAAATGAAAGAAGCTCAGACATGACGAGAAAAGAAATGAGTTTGAGATGACAAGATTTATAAGAGATGTGAGATAAGAAGAGTAATGACAAGGAGATGAGATAGAAGATGAAATGACAGGACAGAAGATGAGATGAGATGACATAAGAGGAGATGAGAGGAGATGAAAGGAGAGGAGATGAGAGAAGATGAGAGGATAGGAGAGGATGAAAGATGAGGAGATGAAAGAAGATGAGACGAGAGAAGATGAGATGAGAGGATAAGAAAGGAGAGGAGATAAGTAAGAGAATATGAGATGAGAGGATAGGAAAGGAGATGAGATCAGAAAAAATGAGAGAAGATGAGATGACAGGAGAGGAGATGAGGAGATGAGCAAAGATGAGGGGAGAGGAAAGGTGATGAGATGAGAAGAGAAGAGAAGAGAAGAGAAGAGCAGAGCAGATGAGGAATTGAGAAGAGAAGAGAAGAGAAGAGAAGAGAAGAGAAGAGAAGAGAAGAGAAGAGAAGAGAAGAGAAGAGAAGAGAAGAGAAGAGAGATGAGGTGAGATGAGCAGAGTAGAGTAGAATAGAGTAGAGTAGAGTACAGTAGAGTAGAGTAGAGTAGAGAAAATGAGAAGAGAAGAGAAGAGAAGAGAAGAGAAGAGAAGAGAAGAGAAGAGAAGAGAAGAGAAGAGAAGAGAAGAGAAGAGAAGAGAAGAGAAGAGAAGAGAAGACACAACAGGACAAGGGAGACAAGAACAATAGTAAGGGAGTAAACACAAGACAAGGTAAATCAAGACAAGAGAAAAATAAGCAATTCACTACCATTAACCACGAGCTGAAATGTTCTTCTCTGCTCCTCTTTGGTAATCTTATTTGTCATGACAACAGTGTAATTCCCAGCATCTTTCTCTGTTACTCCATATATAGTGAGATGGACTCCTCTGTAGAACTTCATCCTGTACTCGTCCCTCAAGACGATCAGCTGATCATTCTTATACCTGAAAAGGTGATGAAACATTAATAAAACTATGTTTAGTAAGTTTCTGACTTTGACAAACAAACCTTATCTATTTATAATATAATATAATATAATATAATATAATATAATATAATATAATATAATATAATATAATATAATATAATATAATATAATATAATATAATATAATATAATATAATATGATATAATATAATATAATATAATACAACATAATATAATATAATATAAAATGATATGATATAGTATAAAATGATATAATATAATATAATATAATATAATATAATATAATATAATATAATATAATATAATATAATATAATATAATATAATATAAGATAATATAATATAATATAATATAATATAATATAATATAATATAATACAACATAATATAATATAATATAAAATGATATGATATAGTATAAAATGATATAATATAATATAATATAATATAATATAATATAATATAATATAATATAATATAAAATGATATAATATAATATAATATAATATAATATAATATAATATAATATAATATAATATAATATAATATAATATAATATAATATAATATAAAATGATATGATATGATATGATATAATATAATATGATATAATATAATATAATATAATATAATATAATATAATATAATATAATATAATATAATATAATATAATATAATATAATATAAAATGATATGATATAATATAATATAATATAATATAATATAATATAATATAATATAATATAATATAATATAATATAATATAATATTATATAATATAAAATGATATAATATAATATAATATAATATAATATAATATCATATAATATCATATAAAATGATATGATATAATATAATGTAATGTAATGTAATATAATATAAAATGATATAATATAATATAATATAATATAATATAAAATGATATAAAATGATATGATATGATATAATATAATATGATATAATATAATATAAAATGATATAATATAATATAATATAATATAATATAATATAATATAATATAATATAATATAATATAATATAATATAATATAATATAATATAATATATTATAATATAATATAAAATGATATAATATAATATAATATAATATAATATAATATAATGTAATATAATATCATATATTATAATATAATATAAAATAAAATGATATAATATAATATAATATAATATAATATAATATAATATAATATAATATAATATAATATAATATAATATAATATAATATAATATAATATAATATAATATAATATAATATAATATAATATAATGTTATATAATATTATATAATATTATATAATATAATATAACAATAGTCACAACTGATCACTTACCATCTGACAGCGGGCTCTGGATAAGCGTAATATTTAACAAGGATTTTTGCCTCTGCATCGCCAGCCTTTGCCTCCACAGTCTGCCACAATTGATCACTGAGTGCTATAAATGGCTTTTCTGAAATAAATCAATAAGTATGTTAGTGGTGTTAACACAATTTTTGTCATTGCTAAATTGAGGTTATTCTAAAAGTGCATACCATAGACTATGAGGGATGCTTGGGCAATCTTCTGCATCTGACCACTAGAAGCAGTACAAATATACTCTCCAGTGTCATTTAAAGTCACATTCTCCACAGTGAGGGTATTGGACAGCTCCAATGAGTTCCACAGCTTTTTCTTGTTGGAGCTGGTCTTGTAGCGTGAGGTCGACATTGAGCCGTTGACACTTCTCTGCAGGCGGAGAGGAATTATTTGTGTTAGTTATGGAATCGTAGTCCAACCAACTCAGATAAACTGGATTGAAGTTATTAAACTAAGATTAAGACAGAAAACTCTTGGTTTGAACATAGATGTGTGGAGTTTGCTGAAGAATTTACAATCACAAGCAAGATGACTGGTTTGCTTTTGTCTAGCCAATAAATGCAGTTAGTTTATCAACTGGTCATACAGTGATGTTCAGATTTCATGTTTCAGATTACAACAATACACACATCACAGCTTGTGTTTTAAAGGTAAAAAAACACTGGAAAGGTGTAGAGGCTATATATTGTATGGAGATCAATACAAAGCAATCAATGCAAAGCACACTCCAACTGTATATAATAAAAATCCAATTAAATAAATTAAAATAGAAAACACATACATTTAATAACAATAATTTTCACTATATTACTGATTTTAGTCTATTATTTGATTGATACTGACTACGTCTGCACCCAAGACTTAAATTATTAGCCCTTCTGTGAAATGTGAAATATTTTCCAAATTTTTCCCAATTTCTATTTCAGAAAAAGTCTTATTTCTTTTAGTTTGGTCTAAAAAATAGGAATATATATATATATAATTTTATAATTTATAATTTTATTTATATATATATTTTTTTTTTTCCAGAGATGGGTTGTGGCTGGAAGTGCATCCGCTGCGTAAAAATGTGCTGGATAAGTTGGCGGTTCATTCCGCTGTGGCGACCCCATGATTTTCTTTTTGATCGACTACATACCAAACCACCCTTTACCTAATGACTTGTCTAAATAACCAAATTTTTCTACTTAACCTAATTAATCTAAGCTGAATACTAGTATTTTGCAAAAAAAAAAGTAATATATCGGGCTCTATTTTAACAATTTAGGCGGAAAGTCTACAGCGCATGGTGCAAAAGCATTAAGGGTGTGTCCAAATCCACTTTAGATTTTTTTAAGGACAGAAAAATGTGCTCTGCGCCCATGTGCATAGTCTAACAGGGATGTACTTATTGTCTTAATGAATTAGGGGTGGGTTTTTAACATAATGTGAATTAAACCAATCAGAGTTTCAGCTCTGAGAGTTAAGAGTTAGTTGCGTTGCGCCATGGTGCTTTTGCTATTGACATGGCAGACTCTGAAAGTGAAAAAACTACAGACATTGGTAGCAAGAAAACAGTTAAACAGACCATCTGCAGTGCAAGGATAAAGAACAAGCCTCCTCCATTCAGCCTCTTTACTTTCTCTTTGCTTTAATTTTACCCTTCTTTTTACTTCTTACGTTCGTGGATAAGGAAACGGTGTTGCACGCACTCCACTGAAGACATCTAGTAGCCTACTAATTTTATTTTGTAGGATTTGATTCAAAACTATTACTAAATTCATTTCTATTTTCCAGCAAATAAATAATTGAACAATAATAACAAAGTGTGGTCAAAAAACTTTCTTTTTTGAGTTATATACAAACACATGCGCCATATGGTGATGTAGACGTCTCCAAAACCCGACAGGTGGACAAATCTAAACTTGTTTTATATTAAAAAATATATATAAATATGCATAAAATAAAATAATACTGCTAATAATAATAACATTATACAAAAGCAATTTGTCATGAATAAACTGAAAAAAAGACCCCTGACATGAAAAACGCTTGGAGGCAGTGGTTTTCATATTTATGTAGAAAATAATAATTTTCTAACATTTAAGTTAAGCTTTAAGTCGGTCAATGGTGCAGTATATTTCAGTTCCTCAAAATAGACCAGCATACCCATAAGCCAACAAAGTGGCGCAAATGGATTTGCGTGGTGCAAAACTTGTAAATTATGGTGGTGCTGGTCTGAAAATAGCAACCAATCGCGCCAAACACATCTTGCGCCTTATTGCAACAGGTGTATTATAGGGCCCATTATGTGTATTGTCATCATGTCAAAGACAGAATAAAATAGTTATTAGAAATCAGTTATTAAAACAATTTGAAAATTTTGACCCCATTAAACGGCACTAGTGAAATTGTATTTGAAACTGTATCTTAGACATAAGCAGTCAGACACCTGCAATCAGAAAAAAGAAGCAGACTGCTTTTGTTTAGACTATTTCTGGCTGTTTTTCATCGCCGTACATTGCAAACTTACAGCACATACTGAAGGGGAACAGGAAAAAGACCACAGAAAAAAAATCTCCAAGGGCTGGTCTTTTTATGTTGAGGTAATCACAATTGTGACAAATGTCACCAATCAGAGGTAAAAATGACTGAACTCTGGGCATTTCTCTCCATTACTGACCTTCTCATGAGGGAAGGTCCACTGGAAGTCGATTCCAACATTGAGCTCTGTGTGCGCGGTGCAGTTGAGTATGAGTCTCTCTCCGACCGTCAGCCTCTCATGCTGTGGACTCAGGGTGAGGTCATAGATCTTGTATCCTGCGGAAGAGGGAAGGGGTGTGAGAGACGTGCCGGGAGGAGCATTGTTCTCTTGAGACCCAGGCAGCTGATCTCACACCACACTGTTCTCAGTATCAACAAAACATTCTGAAACAAGCAAGTCTCCTCAAAAACAAAAGCTTTATCACTTTTTGACATGCTTTTGACATGATATTGAGTAAGCATAATCAATGCATACTGTATGTCAGATGCTTACACCACCATCAAAAAGTTTATAAGTAAGACTTTGGGATCAGTAGGAATGTTTCTTCAAAAAGTCTCTTCAAAAATAAAATGAGTAGTATTGTGAAATATTATTTCAATTTAAAACAACTGTTTTTTATTTTGATATATTTTATAAGGTAGTTTATTATTGTGGTTTAAAGTAAAAAAAAAAAATTGCTTCATATAGTATTCATGATCCACATGATCTTTGAGAAATAAACGTTTGTGCTGCTTTTGTAGATTCATAAAATAACACATTTTATAAAAATAGCATTCAAAAAATCTTTAAAAAAGTTTATACCAATGTGACAGTAAAAACATTTAGAATTTGACAACTTAATATATTACAAAACTATATTATTTAGTTTTTTACTCCCATCCATCCCTGAATCCAGAAATAGACAGTACAGTGGTTCTCACAAAATGCGAAGCAGAAAAATATTGTTTTAATCCTGACAGTTTGAAAGTCAATCATTAATGACTAATTAACATTGACTACATTTACATGGACATCATTAATCAAATTATTTGCCTTAATCTGAATAAGACAATAACATGATTAAGGTTTTTACATGAGTTGCTTTTTGAATGTTCCTTTCATGATCCCGTTTTACATGTTATAGTACATACTTCGATTAACATCATTGCGTCACCAGCGTATTCACAATTTACATTTAACAGCAGTTTGGCACTTTCACTTTCATTCAGGAACATTTTATACATCCCCCGCTCGACAAACCAGATATTGGATGCGACTGTGAACTGCTGAAAGAGTGTTGATTAAATGGAATTTGATACAGCATGCTGTAAGGAGGAAGTAAAACTCTGCATTTCCTAATGCAGGTTACTGTGATCCTTCACTGACTCGGGAGGTGCAGAGAAAAGTTTCAAACAGCCATGTGTGTATTGACTATCCTGTCACAAAATGCAGCGTAAATCCTACACAACAGTAATAGTTTGATTAAGGTGTTTACACGTCTGTACTGCACTTCGAGAGTAAATATAATATGAGTATTAAGCATAATATTTCACAATGTTACTGTTTTATTGTGTTTTTTGTTCAAATAAATACAGTCCTGGTGAGCAGAAAAGACGTGTTCCAAACATTAAAAAATATTTCAATGACGGTAGTGTACATGTTCTTATTTCCGACTATGGAACTTTTTCATGCACTGTTTACCTACACAAATAAATTAACTGTCTTGTTTTCTTACCTACAACAGCCACAATGTAAGGTGAGGACTGAAAGGTCTCGTTTCGAATAGTGGTTTGGCAGTAGACGACTCCAGCATAGCTGACCACACGACTGGGCAAGATGAAGCCCCTCCTGCTATCCCAGATCACCTCTTTCCCATCAGTGGACAGTTCTTTTACTGGATACTTCTGTCAAAGACAACCACCAGAAACATACTTTTCACATCATATCATCAACACCAATAGATAGGAATCTTGATGAGTTAACAGCTAAATATTTCATATTGTTACATGTTACATTTGTTATAGATTGCTCATGTTGCCATGTGACAGTGTTTTACAACATAGCTGTTCAAAAGTATTAAGATTCAGAGTTATATACCTAACACTTAACTTAAAATGAATTACTTGAAACAAAATAAATGTTGACTAAAAAAAAAATTCTGTATAGATATATTTAGCAAAAAATAAAAAAATAATTACAATAACATTTTCTGCATTTCAAATAAAAGTTATTGCATAAATAATTGCATTAGCTCCTTAAGGACACTAAAATAAATCAAATCTCTCTCTCTCTCTCATAAAAAATATATTTCAACATTACAAAAAAATCTTAAATTAATTTAGAGTAGGGCTAAATCTGCAAGTAATCCCTTATTTCAAACGTGGAGTAAGAGAATATGTGTGAGCATATATGAAAACTCACTGTGTAAAGTGTAACATTCAGGTCCTCCACAGACACCAGACAGGGAATGACCACCTGTTCCCCCTCTCGAATGAATACCACATCATAATCTTGAGCAATTCGGACAAATGGTGTACGGTAATCTAAAAAAACATAAAAACAACAGATATGATATTTTTATCATAGGTCTGGGATATTTATTATCAACAATGATTGCTTTTTTTACCAATCTTGCAAGCTGCCAATTATTATTTCAAAAAATAAATAAATAATTTCCTTGAGAATCCAAAAATGTGTGATGAAGCCTCAAGCCTGTTAAAATGACTTTATAATTTCTTAAAATTATATATATTTTTTGTTATAATAATGCAACACAGTGGCTCAGTGTTAAACACTGTCACCTCACAGCAAGATGGTTGCTGGTTCGAGTCCCGGCTGGGCCAGTTGGCATGACTGTGGGGTGTTTGAATGTTCTTCCCATGTTGGCATGGGTTTCCTTTAGGTGCTCCAGTTTCCCCACAGTCCAAAGGCATGCGCTATAGGTGACTTGGGTAAACAAAATTGGCCAAAGTGTATGAGTGTGTGTATGAATGAAAGTGTATGGGTGTTTCCCAGTACTGGGTTGCTGCAGGAAGGGCATCCACTGTGTAAAAAATATGCTGGAATAGTTGGCGATTCAATTCACTATGGCGACCATTGATAAATAAGGGACTAAGCCAGTTAAAAATGAATGAAGGAATGTTATGTTCAATCCACTTAAATTTGTAAAAACTACTACTAAGCTAACATAACTGCCAATGTTAAATGGAGTAATCAAGTGACTCCAAATCAATTTACATTTTTGACATGTTTTTGATGTCCTTTTAACATCAAGGAGCATGCTGGGATGTTAACAATAAATCGGTCATGTTTTTTATGCACTAGTTCTAAAACGGTATTTATAAAACTTTACACTTATACTTCACTGAAATGTTCCTGCAGTAATACAATAGTTAATTTTCGTAGGAAATTAAATACTGGGTGGAGACCTAAACAGTGTTAGAGAAAGTTACTTTATAATGTAGGCATTGCAGTATTGAACTACTCCCCCAAAAAGTAACTAGTTGCCTTTCTTAAGTACTTTTTACAGTAAGTATTGCGTTACGTGACTTTTGAGTTACTTTCGCATGACTTTTTCTGACCTGGCTATGGCTTGATCTCTTTTAGAACTTTTTTCTGCAATTAACAACGCACTATATAACCTACACCTTCATTTACCTTTAAAAAACACAACAAAAAATCAAATTTTAGGATAATGTTTAAAGCAATGTGTTTGCTTCTTTTGTGCTATTCGTCTCAAATAAAATCACCGTCCATTAAGACAATCCCCTTTTCCTCATCTTCGATGTGCGTTCAAAATAATAAACATTCTCTCATTGTGTGATTCATTGTGACTAATTTAATTTTAATTCAGCAATTTATTTTTTTTAAACAGTTAATTAATTAAACTAAAAAGTCACTCGCATTACATTACTTTTTTTGAAAGTAATGTTACTTTACTCGCTACTTAAAAAAGTTATATTTTTATGTAACTCAACTTATAATTTGTTACCTCTTACACTGCTCCTAAAGGAAAAGTTAATCTAAAAATAAACATTACCTCGTAATTTACTCACACTAAAGTGGTTCTAAACTTTTAAGAATTTCATTCATTATACAAGACAAGATATTCTGAAAAAAGGTTGAAAAAAGCAGCCACTGATAACCATAGTACTATAGGAACTAAACCTAATATGCTTTTTTCCCTTTAGGTGCAACAAACGAAAGAAATTCAAATAGGTTTTATTAAAAAAAAAAACCCAGGGTGAATGATTTTTGCAAAAACTATTCTTTTTAGCTTGTATAAGAGACATGACACTTCTTATGGACAACAAATGTACCAGTCCGGATCTGCAGGCACAGAAAGCAATGCAGGTTTACACAACCACATTTAAAACTCGAAACAAGCTATTTCCTATATTTTGTCTGTCTGGACAAGGGAGGAGTTTACAGCTGGCTGAAATGGGAGGTAAAATGTAGTGGTGAAGAGGTTATGAAGGATGAAGAGGTCAAAGGGTTATCCAGAAGGATAACAAAGGAAGTATGTGATGGACACATTTTTTGCAACATTCCAACTCTCTTTCCCACTTTACTTAAGAGAGAAAGTAGGAGTATTTTAAAAATTGTCTTAAAACTTTTCCGACATGACAATGATACCTTGTATGAAGACATATACAGCTACAGATGTTTTCCCATCCTCTTTTGGCAGGCTCTTATAGAAGCAGCGGTATTCGCCTGTCTCATTGGCTACAGCTTTGGAAAGTGTCAGAGTGCTGCAGAATAGTCCATCGCCACTACAGTCGGATATAGTGAGCCGGGTTTCAGAGCTGGTCCGGTTGTGAGGTGTGGACCACTCCAGAATTTGACGACCCCTGAGAAACAGATTTAAAAAAAGACTATTAATAGAGAAAATTGATAACAAAATTACATTGTTTACTATATGTTATTATTGTAAACCAAACAAAGCAATAAACAAAATCAGTATCCCTTATTCAGAATATGAGACAAAGTAACTTTGTTATAATAAGGATTAAACAACTGATGGAAAGTTTACCTGCATGTGATTTGAAGTGTATCTGAAGCATTGATTTTGATAGTCTTCTCAGTGATGTTCAAGGTTGGAGGATCAGGTACAAACCTGAGCTCTATCGCTGCAAGAATAAAACATATCGAAGATTAAGGAAAAGCTGCTAAAATTCACACAATTTCTCACATAAAATATTTAAAACAATTACTGAGTGTTCTAACTGAGGACTTTATCAGATACAATATTTATAAAGTCTAGCCCGGTTCACACCAGTTATTTTAAATTCAAAAGAGCATCACATTCATAACGATACCAGAGGAACGATATTGGTGTATTGACTTTCAAAACACATTCCATCTGAAGAATTCAACATTTACTGTTTATCTTGCCTAAAATAGCACTGCAAGAACATTTATGATGACATAAGCAAAACGGCAGTATGTGCTGTATTTGCAAGAACAGAAACGTTCGAGGTTACTAAAGTAACCCTTCGTTCCCCGAGGAGGGGAACGGAAGCACTATAAGTGGATTTGATTGTTAAAATCCACGTATGGGAGATTCGGTTCAGAAGCTACTCGTCTGAAAGAGTATTGAACGGGCCAATTAAGAATGAATTGGCAGCGCAAGCCTGCGCAGGTGAGCGGCATAAGCAATCAACTGAGTATATAAGCTCACCTGGCGCCAGCAGACGCTATCCTTTTTAAGCTGAAGAGACTTTTAACAGCTAAGGGACAGTCATTATGGCGACGGAGTATAGTGCTTCCGTTCCCCTCCTCGGGGAACGAAGGGTTACTTTAGTAACCTCGAACGTTCCCCTTCGGGGGGAACTTCAGCACTATAAGTGGATTTGATTGTTAAAATCCACGTATGGGAGCCCATTGAAAGCGCCATAATGACTGCACCTTACCAACACCCACCATGAGAGAGCGGTCAGGCAAGCGTGACGCACCCAGATCACGAGAGGCGTGGTCCTCCAACGTGCCCATGGCCCTAACTTATCCTACTTCAAAAGAAGTTTTACGGAATAGGTATCTTTTTTGGGAGTCGCTAGCGTCTAGATAATTCTAGGAATACACGACAGTACGTTGGGAAGCGTGCCATCCCAGTAGGGAGGACGCTGCGGAGACCATCCGCACCCAATAGGGGGAAACAAATGGAATTACATATGGACTAACCCTGAAAAGGGGGAGTGTGCATAAGAAGGTGGTTAGCAGATAGGGAAAGCACGGGTCCGCCCAGGGGGGGAACTTAACCGTGGCGGAAAAGCATATGGGGATCACCAGCGGGGATCGGCCATAGCAGGCACCTATACCCAAAACGCTGGCTGACCAGCGGGCAGACCTACTACGTAATGGGCCGGCAAGTGACTCCTCCGCTGAGTCAGTGCTGGGGGCCTCGAAGGAATCTGCAGGGCTCACCGAATGGGGAACTTTACTGACAGACAGGAGGGTGCACATCTCTCCGTGTTAGGGAAAAAAGGCACCGCAAGCGTGTACAACACCTACCGAGTTGTTTCCTCAATCACCAAAGGTACCTAACACCCTTGAGGAAACCGGCTCCACTCGCAGATTATAAAATCTTGCAAATGTGTTGGGTGTCGCCCAGCCCGCAGCTCTACAAATGTCTGCTAAAGAGGCGCCACGCGCACACGCCCAAGAGGATGCAACGCTCCGAGTGGAGTGCGCATGCACTCCTGGGGGGCGCGGCTGGCCTCTGCTCAAATAAGCACATGAAATGGCCTCCACAATCCAGTGGGATAAACGTTGTTTAGACACGGCACTTCCCTGCTGCCGTCCGCCATAACAGACAAAGAGCTGCTCAGAAGATCTAAAGTTCTGAGTACGGTCCACATAAATGCGCAGAGCGCGAACTGGACAAAGTAAGGACAGGGCTGGGTCTGCCTCCTCCGGGGGCAGCGCTTGCAGGGTTACTACCTGATCTCTAAAAGGAGTGGTAGGAACTTTGGGCACATAACCCGGGCGGGGTCTCAGAATAACGTGAGAAAATCCCGGCCCGAATTCCAGGCACGAGTCACTGACCGAAAATGCCTCCAGGTCCCCGACCCTCTTAATGGAGGCCAACGCGACCAGCAGAGCTGTCTTCAGGGACAGAAATCTTAAAGATACTGTATCGAGTGGCTCGAAGGGATCAAATCGCAGGCTCGTGAGAACGAGGGCGAGATCCCAAGAGGGCGTGAGAGGGGGGCGAGTTGGATTAATTCGCCTAGCGCCTCTGAGGAACCGGATGATGAGGTTATGCTTTCCCACGGTGCCGCCAGCCACCGCGTCATGGTGAGCGGAGATGGCAGCAACGTAAACCTTGAGAGTGGAGGGCGACAGCCTGCTGTCCAGCTTCTCTTGAAGGAAAGAGAGCACAACACTGATCTGGCAAGATCGGGGGTCTTCTCTGCGAGAGACACACCACTCAGTGAATAGACTCCACTTCAGGGCGTAGGCGCGCCTCGTGGAGGGGGCTCTAGCCTGAGTGATGGTATCAACCACCGCGGGCGGCAGGTTACCTAAGTCTTCCTCGCGTCTATGGACCACACGTGGAGGTTCCAGAGATCGGGACGAGGGTGCCAGACGGTGCCTTGTCCCTGAGAAAGTAGGTCCTCTCTCAAAGGGATCTGCCAAGGGAGGGCCGTCGCGAGGAGGGAGAGCTCTGATATCCAGGTTCGGTTGGGCCAGAGGGGCGCAACTAACAAAACCTGCTCCTCGTCCTCCCTGACCTTGCACATTAACTGCGCGATCAGGCTCACTGGGGGAAACGCATACTTGCGTATGCCCCGAGGCCAGCTGTGGGCCAGTGCATCCGTGCCGAGAGAGCCCTCGGTCAGGGAATAAAACAACTGGCCATGAGCGTTCTCGGGGGAAGCAAACAGATCAATCTGGGCCTCCCCGAATCGCGCCCATATCAGCTGGACAGACTCGGGGTGGAGTCTCCATTCTCCAGAGTGAATCTGCTGCCGTGAGAGCACATCGGCTGCACGGTTGAGCATACCTGGGATGTGAATGGCGCGCAGCGACTTCAGCCGCGCGTGACTCCAGAGGAGCAGACGGCGGGCGAGCTGAGACATGCGGCGAGAGCGCATACCCCCCATGCGGTTGATATACGCCGCCGCCGCCGTACTGTCCGTCCTGACCAGCACGTGTTGCTGCCCCAGCACCGGAGAAAAACGGCGGAGAGCAAGGAACACTGCCAACAGCTCTAGGCGATTGATGTGCCAATGCAGCTGGGCACCTACCCACAGGCCCGCAGCTGCATGCCCGCGACACACGGCTCCCCAGCCTGTGCTGGAAGCATCTGTCGAAACAACAACATGACTGGACGCCTGTCCCAGAGGCACACCGGCCTGCAGGAACGAGGGGTCGTTCCAGGGGCTGAGGGTGCGGCGACACAGCGCAGTAACAGAGACTCGGTGTGTGCCCGCATGCCATGCGCGTCTCGGAACTCGATCTTGAAGCCAGTGCTGAAGTGGTCTCATATGGAGCAATCCGAGCGGCGTGACGGCCGCAGCGGAAGCCATATGCCCCAGGAGCCTCTGAAATATTTCAGTGGGACCACTAACTTGCTGTCGAGCTCCCTCAGACAGTTCAGCAGCAGGCGAGCGCGCTCTCCGGAGAGGCGCGCTACCATGGTGACCGAGTCCAGCTCCATCCCGAGAAAAGAGATCCTCTGCACCGGGGCGAGTTTGCTCTTTTCCCAGTTGACCTGCAACCCCAATAGGCGGAGATGCCGGAGCACCTCGTCTCTGTGCGCAGTCAATTGCTCCCGAGAGTGGGCTAAAATCAGCCAGTCGTCGAGATAATTGAGTACGCGGATGCCCGCAAGCCGCAGAGGCGCTAGGGCACCCTCCGCGAGTTTGGTGAAGACCCGCGGAGACAGAGAGAGCCCGAAGGGGAGGACCTTGTACTGCCATGCTCGACCTTCGAACGCAAACCGCAGAAACTGACGGTGGCGTGGAAGAATGGAGACATGAAATACGCGTCCTTCAGGTCTATGGCTGCAAACCAATCCTGAGGACGAACGCATCGGAGGATGCGCCTCTGCGTAAGCATTCTGAACGACAGCTTGTGAAGGCAGCGATTCAAAACGCGCAGATCTAGGATTGGCCGTGACCCACCGCTCTTTTTGGGTACGATGAAGTACGGGCTGTAAAACCCGCTCTCCATCTCGGCTGGAGGTACCGGCTCGATTGCACCTTTCGCCAGGAGGGCAGCAATCTCCTCTCGCAAGACAAGGGCGGACAGGGGATAGACCCTGGTGAAATACACGCCCGTAAACCTGGGAGGCCGTTTGGAGAACTGTAGTTCGTAGCCGAGTCTGATCGTGCGTATGAGCCACCGCGAGGGGCTGGCCCGCGCTAACCAGGCAGGCAGAGCCCTCGCTAATGACGTCATCGCAGCAATCGTTGACGTACCCGCGGAGGGGCAGCGAGGAGCGGGTGTGCTGATCCGGGGAGCGCGAGGGTCCCACAGAAGAGCTGGAGGAGAGCGATTCGCTCTGGCTCCGCACCCTGACTCCGGAGGGGGGGCTTGGGGGCTGGGAGAAGGGAGACCGTCCCCCCAGCGCCCGTGAGCCGCTGGCGGAGCATGCAGACCCTGCGAGCTGAGAGGCGGCGCGTCCCAGGCTGGCAGGGCCTGCAGTGCCCGTGAGCCACTGGCGGAGTGCACCGAACCTACGAGCTAGAGAGCTGAGCTCAAACTGGCAGGTTTCGGGCTGTCACCTCTGGAGAAGTGGAAAAGTGCCCTTTCATTTCATGGCAGTAAAAAGTGCCGTTGGAAATGGCACCCCGCCCTCCAGCGGGGAAAGAGCAAGTTCCCTCCTCTCCAGATGACCTGTCCCAGGGACGCTTCGCGGTCCGTTGCCAGACTTAGCGGCGTCCCGGGCAGGGGGAGTGGCCTGCTTCCGAGGTGCTCGACGCGCTCGCTTCGCCAGAGGCGAGTGCGGGGGCGGTGCAGCTCTCGTAGGCGGGCGCCTTCGGCGAGGAGCAGGTATGGATGGCACGGCGGGCGGAGCGGGCTTACGGGGCCGCCGATTAGACATCACCCATCGGACTGCTCTCTCACTGCCTCGAATTCCTGGGTGAATTCGCAGACTGTGTCGCCGACTAGCTTGGGATAT